CGGACACAAAGATGAGGGCAGTATGTTCGACGCGTTGCGGCGCCACCTGGCCAAGAGATCCTAGGATGACCATTGGTATCAGTTTTTGTTTTTTGTTTGAACGCTCATGATGACTAAGCAACATATTGTAAAATGGCCTTGTCCTTTTTCTCCATGGCCACTGGCCGAGTAAGGATTGCTTTTGCCAAACTTTAGACGACTTGTGCTGGCTGGTGACCTAGGCATGTTGGGGCCAGAGAGTCCATGGGAGAATGCTGGGTGCCTGACGGTCGTTGTGCGGGAATATGTAGGCAGAGAGGACTGTTTTGCAACTTGCGTTGGCTTGCTGCAAGCGGCGGAAAGAGGCGACGCACAACATGTGCTAGAGCTGTTGGAGACGCCTCATGATCCTAATGCTGCCGACAGAAACAGCCATGTGACACCTTTGTTTAATGCTTCCTTAAATGGTCATCTGGAAGTTGCGCAGTGCTTGCTGGATATCGGTGCTGACAAAGACAGGACAGACAACCAGGGCACCACACCATTGCATGCTGCTGCTGAGCAGGGCCACCAGGCTGTTGTGCAGTGTTTGCTGGATGCCGGTGCTGACAAAGAGAAGGCAAACGACGAGGGTGCCACACCATTGCATTTTGCTGCACATCAGGGCCACCAGGCTGTCGTGCAGTGCTTGCTGGATGCCGGTGCTGACAAAGAGAAGGCAATCAACCAGGGCAGATCACCATTGTATCTTGCTGCACGTCGCGGCCATGGGGCTGTTGTGCAGTGTTTGCTGGATGCCGGTGCTGACAAAGAGAGGGCGACCAAGAAGGGCACCACACCATTGCATGCTGCTGCACATCACGGCCACCGGGCAGTTGTGCAGTACTTCTTAGATGCCGGTGCAGACAAAGAGAAGGCAAACAGCGAGGGTTCCACACCATTGCATTCTGCTGCTAGGCAGGGCCACCAGGCTGTTGTGCAGTGTTTGCTGGATGTCGGTGCTGACAAAGAGAAGGCAACCAACGACGGTGCCACACCATTGCATTCTGCTGCTGGGCAGGGGCACCAGGCTGTCGTGCAGTGTTTGCTGGATGCCGGTGGTGACACAGAGAAGGCAAACAGCGAGGGTGCCACACCATTGCATCTTGCTGCACATCACGGCCACCAGGCAGTTGTGCAGTACTTGCTGGATGCCGGTGCTGACGAAGATAAGGCAAACCACGAGGGTGCCACACCATTGCATGCTGCTGCTGGGCAGGGCCACGAGGCTGTTGTGCAGTGTTTGCTGGATGCCGGTGCTGACAAAGAGAAGGCAACCAATCAGGGCGCCACACCATTGCATTTTGCTGCACATCAGGGCCATCAGGCTGTTGTGCAGTGCTTGCTGGATGCCGGTGCTGACAAGGAGAAGGACACCAACGAGGGTGCCACACCATTGCATTTTGCTGCGCGTCACGGCCAGCAGGCAGTCGTGCAGTGCTTGCTGGATGCCGGTGCTGACAATGAGAGGGCGACCAAGAATGGCACCACACCATTGCATGTTGCTGCAGAGCAGGGCCAGCAGGCTGCCGTGCAGTGCCTGCTGGATGCTGGTGCTGACAAAGAGAAGGCAAACAGCAAGGGCGCCACGCCATTGTATTGTAGTGCACGTCACGGCCATGGGGCTGTCGTGCAGTGTTTGCTGGATGCCGGTGCTGACAAAGAGAGGGCGACCAAGAAGGGCGCCACGCCATTGCATGCTGCTGCACATCACGGCCACCGGGCAGTTGTGCAGTACTTCTTAGATGCTGGTGCAGACAAAGAGAAGGCAAACAGCGAGGGTTCCACACCATTGCATTCTGCTGCTGGGCAGGGCCACCAGGCTGTTGTGCAGTGTTTGCTGGATGCCGGTGCTGACAAAGAGAAGGCAAACGACGAGGGTGCCACACCATTGCATTTTGCTGCTGGGCAAGGCCACCAGGCTGTCGTGCAGTGCTTGCTGGATGCCGGTGCTGACAAAGAGAGGGCGACCAAGAAGGGCACCACACCAATTCATGTTGCATTGCACTGCTCAGGCGTGCCTGGATGCCGGTGCTGACAAAGAGAGGGCAGTTGTGCAGTAGGCTGCAGTGTTGGATGCCGGTGCTGACAAAGAGAAGGCAAACAGCGAGGGTTGCACACCATTGCATTCTGCTGCTGGGCAGGGCCACCAGGCTGTTGTGCAGTGTTTGCTGGATGCCGGTGCTGACAAAGAGAGGGCAAACAGTGAGGGTGCCACACCATTGCATTCTGCTGCTGGGCAGGGCCACCAGGCTGTTGTGCAGTGTTTGCTGGATGCCGGTGCTGACAAAGAGAAGGCAAACGACGAGGGTGCCACACCATTGCATTTTGCTGCTGGGCAAGGCCACCAGGCTGTCGTGCAGTGCTTGCTGGATGCCGGTGCTGACAAAGAGAGGGCGACCAAGAAGGGGTGCCACACCATTGCATTTTGCTGCTGGGCAGGGGCACCAGGCTGTGTGCAGTGTTTGCTGGATGCCGGTGCTGACAAAGAGAAGGCAAACGCGAGGGTGCCACACCATTGCATTCTGCTGCTGGGCAGGGCCACCAGGCTGTTGTGCAGTGTTTGCTGGATGCCGGTGCTGACAAAGAGAGGGCAAACAGTGAGGGTGCCACACCATTGCATTTTGCTGCTGGGCAGGGGCACCAGGCTGTTGTGCAGTGTTTGCTGGATGCCGGTGCTGACAAAGAGAGGGCAAACAGTGAGGGTGCCACACCATTGCATTTTGCTGCTGGGCAGGGGCACCAGGCTGTCGTGCAGTGTTTGCTGGATGCCGGTGCTGACAAAGAGAGGGCAAACAGTGAGGGTGCCACACCATTGCATTTTGCTGCTGGGCAGGGGCACCAGGCTGTCGTGCAGTGTTTGCTGGATGCCGGTGCTGACAAAGAGAGGGCAAACAGTGAGGGTGCCACACCATTGCATTTTGCTGCTGGGCAGGGGCACCAGGCTGTCGTGCAGTGTTTGCTGGATGCCGGTGCTGACAAAGAGAGGGCAAACAGTGAGGGTGCCACACCATTGCATTCTGCTGCTGGGCAGGGGCACCAGGCTGTCGTGCAGCTGTTTGCTGGATGCACCAGGCTGTCTGCAGTGTTTGCTGGATGCCGGAGCTGACAAAGAGAAGGCAAACAGTGAGGGTGCCACACCATTGCATTTTGCTGCTGGGCAGGGGCACCAGGCTGTCGTGCAGTGTTTGCTGGATGCCGGTGCTGACAAAGAGAGGGCAAACAGTGAGGGTGCCACACCATTGCATTTTGCTGCTGGGCAGGGGCACCAGGCTGTCGTGCAGTGTTTGCTGGATGCCGGTGCTGACAAAGAGAAGGCAAACGACGAGGGTGCCACACCATTGCATTCTGCTGCTGGGCAGGGCACCAGGCTGTTGTGCAGTGTTTGCTGGATGCCGGTGCTGACAAAGGGCAAACAGGGCACCATTGCACACAGGCTGTCGTGCAGTGTTTGCTGGATGCCGGTGCTGACAAAGAGAGGGCAAACAGTGAGGGTGCCACACCATTGCATTCTGCTGCTGGGCAGGGGCACCAGGCTGTCGTGCAGTGTTGCTGCCGGTGCTGACAAAGAGAGGGCAAACAGTGAGGGTGCCACACCATTGCATTTTGCTGCTGGGCAGGGGCACCAGGCTGTCGTGCAGTGTTTGCTGGATGCCGGTGCTGACAAAGAGAGGGCAAACAGTAAGGGTGCCACACCATTGGATCTTGCTGCGCATCACGGCCACCAGGCTGTTGTGCAGTGTTTGCTGGATGCCCGTGCTGGCCAACCATTTCGTTTTGCAGATGTTTGCTGCATCACATGATGAATTTCAAGTTGCGCCGTGCTTGCAAGTAGCTTGTGACAGCAGCACGGCAAACAGCAATAGTCTGACACCGTGAATTTGGTGCTTCTGTTTCTTTGAAGCTGGAATAGCTAGGCTGGACATATTATTGGAATCAGTCGTATCAGGTAAAGAACATAATCAATGTGAGCTTTGGCTGCAATCAGTGATGTTGCATTGTCAAAAGGGTGCGTCTTTTTTTGCCGGTACCCTTTCTGGGCTTGGTTTAAAGAAAGTCACAGCTTGTTGGGCTCGGATTCCTAGAATACAAACCCAACTTCGCCGCTCAGATTGGCATAAAAGATTCGACCGAACCCGCAGAGAACTGGCTTTTCTTTCCTTTCCCTTCAAAGGGCCCTTCCCAGGCCCTGCAAGTTTTCGCGTTTTACACTTAGATAAACTCAGTTGCAAGCCAACCTTTGGCTTTCTGGTTTCCCCTTTTCCAATTTTTAGCCATGACCCCAAAAGGCTAACCTTTATTTGCAGGTCCTTTGGACAACTGACTGGAAACGGGGGGTATAAGCTAATTATAAGGGGGTTCAGTAATCTATGGAGTTCAACCATCGTTTGTCACCCAGAAATGGCGTCGCGCCTGACATGATTTTCCGAAAGCCAATCCCCCCAAAAGGGGGATTGGCTCAAGAACAACTGGCTTTCCTTTAGCCTTGTGTTTTGAGTACCAAAAGGAGCATAGGTGCTCAAAGCTAGATGGGGACAAACCAAGCTCAAATGTGTGTTCTACCTCTTCTTTTTATAGAAACCTCAATTTCGCAAACATTTGGTTTCGATTTCCCTTTCGGACAACTCCAAAGGGAACCCTTACCCTCCAACAAGCGCACTTGGAGGCATCTTTGTCAATTTTCTTTAGGGCCCCCAATTTGCTTCGGTGTTCCTTTTGGTTTTCCTTTGCCACGGGTACGAACTCCAAACAAAGACTCTTGCCATGTGGTTTCTCTTTGAACCCTCCCCCAAAGAAGAAACAACAAACACGAGTACCAACTTTCTCTTTGACCCCCCCAAAAAAAATAAACGAAGCAAAAAAACATCAGGTACCAACTCAACTCCCCCCCCATTTTGGGGGAAAACCTTCCCGCAGGTTCGCGGATCTGGATCGCGAAATCCGGGGGCCGAAGGACCCGAGCCTCGCCTCGCCTCGTCGAGGCGGTGGCTTTCCGAAGCCGCGATGCCTGGAGGTCGTTGCTCACGCAGAGCCTGGGTTTGATTGGACGGGGGTGGGCGGGTGGGGGGCTCGTTCCAAGGGGGGTGAATTAAGAGCAAGGGGCGCTGGTACGGAGGGGTTGGTTTATGAAAAAGGAGTTGATAAACAGGGGGGTTCCAAGGTGGTGAAGAGACCTTGGTTTGATTGGACGGTGCGGTTTGATTGGACGGTGCAGGGGGTTGGGTGGGTGGGTGGGTGGGTGGTTCCCCCGGGGTGGTGAATTAAGAGCAAGGGGCTTGTAAGGAGGGTTTGTTTAGAAGGGGGGTTGATAAACAACGGGGGAATTGGAAAGGGGCGTTATCAAAACCTTACAAGTCCCATTGAAGAAGGTTCTCGGTTCAAATTGCCGGTTTGGGGCTTTTTTGTTGGGGTCTGGGAGAAGCCATTTGTCGTTTGCCCGGCTTCATCATGGAAGTGAACTAGGCTATCACCATTTGAGGGATTTCTTTGGCTCCGCTTTCTTTCTGGTCATCGTTCTTTTCAAACACGTGGGCGAATCCTTCTGGATTTGGTGGTTTTCTGGAAAGAAGGATCCCCGGAAAGCATGGCGGTACGATGTTTGTCGCTTGTTCGTCGTTTTAGCAATGAGATCCGTCGCTTTTGACGGGGAGCATGTTTAGACCACTGATTCGTAGATGTGCAATGGCAACCAGAAACAAGCCCAGGCACCCGTGAGCAACCCTTGCGACTCCTTGCCCGCTTCGCCTCGGGTCTTTCAGACTTGGTTTGTTTCTGCTGGCAAGCGTTGGAGCTACAGATTTTCAGAAGCCTCAACCCCCTTTACCCCCCTTTACCCCCCTTTACCCCCCCCCCCCCCTTTGGGCCAAATAGGTGGGAAGCTTCCGGAAGTCTGGAAGGGGGGGGGGGGGTTATGCTTTCTTAGACATTCTTGGCTTGCGAAGCTTCGGTTTGGCTGACTTTCTGGGACCAAATGAGCAGGACAGCCAAATGCCACAACGGCGAGCAAATGAGCAAATCGGGGTGTGGGGTGGGGGGGGGCGGGGGTCCTAGGTCCGGGCTTGGGCGAAATTTGTTTAGACGCATGATGCAAGGGGTGGACCCAACTGTATCGGGGTTCGCCCCATTTCAGACGTAGCCACGAAGCCAAACCAAGGAAGGCGTAGCTTCAGACTTCAGAATCGCTTCTCGGCCACTTGATGGTCTATTTGTATCACAGAATCTATGCACTCAAATCATGAAGCAAACCCATGAAGATAACCCTGCCAAGGTCGCGAGTCGAACGGTGGCTTGCAACACCCAAGATTGGCCCACGTAAAAGGGTACACATACAAGGATATATGTTTTCTGACTCTGTTCCATACTTCGTCTAACCCTATATATATGGGTTTGTCTCAAATAGGAATCGGATCCTGAAAATTGGTGGACTTCCTGTTGGTTTCCTTTTACCACCCCAACCAGGGTGTCAACAAAAAAGACGCGCCCCGCCCCTTTTTTTCCAAAGATCGAACACCCCCGGTATTGGCTCAGCTGACGGTGCCTTGTTGATGCCCTACTGCCCTGAAAACATACCCCCTACACCCTCTCATCCTTAGGGTATGATGTCGACCCTCCACTAAAAAAGGAGGTATTTACCATGGAAACCCAGGTTTTTCAGAAAATACCCTAGAATCTAGAAAAAGTGGGTATTTGGGTTGGGGGGGACCCACCCAAATGAGGCCTTCGTGGAAGAGAGGGTGTTGCTAGGCCGAGGTTGGTAGGTCGGATGCCTGGCGATTGACCCCTCAAAATCCGTGTGCCAACCGTGGAACTTCCTGGATACTGTGGACAAAATCCATTGCACACCGAAGACACCCTGGTTTCTGAGGATTCCACTGGTAAATACCAGCAAACAATGGTGGCCGGTCGTTTCCAAGTGGTGTCTCGATTTGATTTCGCAACTTCGCAACCATCCAGTATGGAAAGGGGCGTCGAGTCGTCGTCTTTTCCAACCAGGGAAAGTGAGTCGTGGCTGAATGCGAAGTCGCAGAGCGAGTTGGGTTTTGGGTTTTTTGGAGGATGGGTCTATGGAGCGTTGGACCCTAAGCCATGGAACATGTAGGGACCTGTCCTTCGCTTCCATGGTTGCGGATAAATGCGAACTTGAAGCCCCCGCCAAACGCCGAAAGCAGATATGTTAGGCGAACAGTCCCAGGCTATGGTCCATTTAGGCTCGAAATTTCCACCCAAACCAGATGGACTCACCAATTTTTCCATGTGGGTGTGGCTCAAAATCAAACAGGAGGGGCAAACCGCAGGTTTTGGTCCATGTTTCCACTTACCAGGGCAAGCCATTTTGGGTTTTTTGAGCCACAGCCATGTCTTGGGGGAAAGAGTCATTTGGACAAAGGCTCGTATACTGTGGTCTCAATTGGCTCCTCTTCCCTTTTCGAGCCAACATGTCGGGCTTCTTGAGAGACCGAGTCATGCCATGGCAAGAGGGTCTGATTGGAGGGACGGTGGTTTTGACGGTGAGAGCCGGATTCCCTGGTACAAGGCTGCTATTCCGATTCCCTGGCAGTCAGTGTCCGACCTCTTTGTTTCAGCGGGTCGCGATTTGTTTCGCCTAGCTTAACTTAAGTTGAGACTCCTCTTGAGAGATGCTTAAGGGGGGCTTTTGGTTAGGGGGGCCCAGTGCTTGTCCACAAACCCACAAGGCAAGCTCGCGGGAATGGAAAAGCTGGTCCCCCCTTGTCTCACTCCTTCAAAGCCAAACTTTTGAACTTTTTGAGGGGGGCCCTTGTGGAAAGACTTCTATAACATACAAAACCATTAACGAGCTTGTACTTCAGAGTGATTTGGAGGCAGTCCGCTGTGGCTCAGGAACCACATTTGGTACCTCTTGAAGGGGCGCTCCCTTCATGCCTGAGCCTTGGTCACCTGGGTCAACAAATGTCCAGTCCGTGGTTCATTTGGGAGGGACTTCGGGAACTCATGCAACGTCCCACAAAATTTCAAGGCACGCGCCCGGACACAAATCCAATGTTCTTTTTTAATATGTGAGGTCCCCCACGTCCAACGATTCCCATTAGAACCTATTTTAGTGGGAATTGGGATGTTCACTGGGTGTATGGGCTTTTGACCCATGGCCATTTTAATTGGGGGATTGATCCATTTCTTTGTTTGCTCTTTACTCCAGCAAAAAAAAAAATCCACGCATGTGGGGCTTAACGCCTTTCTAGAGGTGACTTTTGGTTGTTTCTGGCTTGCACCCCTTGTGACCAGATGTTTGGGAAGGATCCATTTTGCGGGGAGACCGTCGAACTAGCATTGTTCTAGGGGTTGATTCCTTTTCCATTCTTTCCAACGCTCTTTCCAAAAACCGGCTCCGTTTTCCCTGGCTAAAACCGGAGGTTTTCTGGAAAGGTCCGGATCCCTGGGTTAAGAATGGAACTGGAAGGTCCCCCTCGACTTGTGAAGTCGCGGCAATTCGGTTTGAGATCAACGACCCGTCCCCACCGCGGCCCTCGAGTTGGAAGATGGCTGGTAGAAACGCGAGCATCTTTCAGCGCCGGAGCGAGTTGATGTGCATATGTTCCGAGGGGTAGTGGCAACTGGGGGGTTCTTGCAAGCCAGTTAGCAAGATGGGCAACAGTACATATTTTGAGAACACCAGCATATAAATATGTATATATATATATAAAAAGAGCCACATATACTTCTTTATGTCCATATTTGTTTTACACACATGCACGTACTGCTGTCATCCCATCCCATCAGCTCCTCCATGTCCAGCGCGAGGTCCTGCTGCTGAACCAATCGCCGGTGCGGGTGGTCACCAATTTGCTGATCTTCGAAAACCGCGCCAAGGCATCCGCAGCTCCAGTGCTATCTTCCCCATTCCAACAAGAGTTTTGTGGGGTGCCGTCTACTCGACTGGTTTTTCTGGAGTAAAGAGCAGAGAAAGAAATGGGGCAATCCCCGAAATAAAATTCTAGGGGTACCTTCCATTTTCCATTCTTTCCAGGGATCCGGATCTTTCTAGAAAACCTCCGGTTTTAGCTAGGGAAAATAGCGGCCGGTTTTCGAAAGAAAGATATCGTTGGAAAGAATGGAAAAGGAATCAGCCCCTGGAACAATGCTATTCCGACCGTCTCCGCGCAGAATGGATCCTTTCCAAACATCTGGTTCACGAGGAATCAACCCTTAGAGAATCGAGCGAGTGAGACTCGGCGGATTTGACGGGGAGGTCCTATTAGTAGGTAGGGGTGTTGCCCTCGAAGAGTGACGAGCCCAACCAAAAGGAGGGTCCCCCCCAACTAATCAACCAAGGGGGTTCCCATCACATATATATACATATATATATATACACACATTATATATACATATATACACATTATAGAAATACACAACATCTATGTATATATATATATGCATATATACATATATATATATATGTATACATGGTAGTCCCTCCCCAAAACCCGCCAGCTCATTTCTCGGGTTCCATTTTGAAGGCCGAGGAAGTGGACACCACCTTGGGGTTTTGCCTGACATGTCCCAAGGATGAGGACTTCGGCCAGCCGAATAGCTTCGACCCTCAGTGACTCTTAGTGACCTTTAGAAAAAAAGTGAGTGAGTGACTAACGTTCTGGCTAAACCACCATGAAGGGCCAGAGCTCTCTTCCCAGGATTTTTTTTGTCTGGCTCTGAACCAATGGAGCTTGATTCTGGGTCCCAAGTGATGGCCATCGATCGGAAGAAGGGAGCCTTGGGTCCCGGGTGCCGTTGCATTGGCCTGGTTGCTTCGGTCACCGAGGGCAATTTGAGGGGTTCTCAAAATGGCGGACCTTTGGCATGTAAAGGAAAACCAAAAAGGAACCAACCAGCTAGGATACCACGGGGATCCTATTTTGGACCCAGTTCCGGGCTTGAAATGGCGATGGACCCAAGGTTTCTGTCATATGGATAGACAAAATCCGTTCGCACCAGATTGAGGCCATGATAGGCCATTGTTGGTTAATGTTTACAGGGGAATCGAAGCATTCCAGAGTTTCTTAGGTCCAGGATTTCGTGCGTCCACAGTATCGACGCATTGTCTATCTCTCCAAAACAACTCCGGCGACCTCGCAGGTCTCAGGCAAAACCCATTGTTTCTGGGGCATTTAAGCGGCAAATGGCAGTAGAGCCTCTCTTCGTTTAGGTTTATTGGAGCCATTTCCCAGGTCTGCATGGTACATATCCGATTCAGATCCAGGCGGCGGCCCTGTGCGCGTTGAACGGTTGGAACCCCAAGCGCGGCGCCAAGTGAATGGACCAGCGGGGCTGAAGGTTAGGCGAGCGGGAGTTTGGTTGGGCGGGCGGCTGGCCCTGGGCTGGAAGCCTTCCACGCTTCGGGTAGGCAGTGTAGCGATTGCGCACGGACACGGGAGGGTTTCGCTTGTCCTTCCGCCGATTCCGTTTAGGAATCCACCGGGTGCACGGGTGCGTGCATTCAGACATTCAGAGGTTTCTGGGGGGGCGGGCCGCACTTCCCGCGCCCCTCACGACCCAGGCAGCTTCCGCTGCCGGAGCCCCAGCCAGGGCAGCTTTCGGCCATCTCGAGCTTTACCGGGGCCCCACCCAAGCTCCATGAGTTTTTTTTCGCCTTTGCCCCAAGTTGGGCCTTATCTTGTTTGGCGGCTTCCCCTGGTCGATCTGAAAGGGGGTGCAGTACAATGGCACCAGAAGGCGCTCGCGGATTCCAGGTTTCACGGGTGGCCTCACTTGTTGCCAAAGCCGGAGGTTGTTTGTTTCCAAATGCCCCATGGTCACACCACTCCATTGGTAGGGACGTCATGGACCCCTCGAGAGTAGAGGCAATTTGGTTTCTGGAGTTTTGCAAGTGTGACCTAAGCACACACCAGGGAGCCAAAGGGTGCACAAGGAGATTCCGTTCCGAAAGATGGATCGACGTGTCTAATGTTTTTGGGGGATGTCGACCACCATCGCAAGGATTCAGCCAATCTGATCAAATGGAACGCGGGCATAGTCGTAGCCCCCAAATAATCGAGTCCTTTGCTTAAGAAGTCTTCCAAGGTGCGGTCCAGTCAAACACTGAAGCAATGCTCATGGGTTCCAGGTCATCCTTAAAATGCCATGGCGTGGAGAGTCATATTTCGAGCCCTAGCAAACAGCAACTTTGGTGCATTTTGATTGGCTGTTAGGACTTTACCTTTTTGATCCAACCAATGGGTTTTCCACTAAACCACTGAAAGTTGTGCACTTTTAGCAGGGCTTCGCAGATTTAGCAACCGAGGCAAGTGGGAAATCGCGGCGGGAAAAGAACAGAAGCCCGCAAGTCAGTGCAGACCGCGTTGATGCACGCTGCGCTTCACAGAGCACCCGCTTGAAATCAGCTGGCTGTCATGGTGTTGTGTCCTTTCGTGGAGAAGCGCGGGCGGATCTGAAGTGTTGGTTTCCCTTTCCGCTTTCAATGAACCCTCCCAAAAAAGGGATCTTTGACAAAACGACACGTAGACCTGTTCATCACGTTTTGGAGAGCTGTTGGGACAGATGGACCTTGGCGTGCCACTGGACAAAACATTTTAAACCCAACGTGTTTTTGGGGGCAACAGGGAAGCGAGGCTGACGCTCTTCCTGGGCCTGCAGTTCCGAGAGCTGGACGAGCGCGGGACCCACCTGTTGGGACCCGTTGGTCAGCCGCCGTATTTTTGCTAGGTTTCCCAGCTGCAGCTAGGTGCCCTTCTCTCCCCTTTTTTGGGGTAGGGTTCCCCTACTAAAATAGACTACAGAGAAAAGGGTACCCTGATTCTATCCCCTCTACTGGAGGACCTAGTTTAGGTGCGCAAAGCGAATCGACAACTTTTGACCTTTTGGTTTTCCCATGTCGGCCCGTTTTTAGTAGAGATGCCACAAGGGTTAAACGATATACTCCCAGGTCCTTTGGGCAAGTGAGCTTTGATTGGTGAACATAGCCTCCCACCAAGTAACATGGAGCCTGACCCGGTCCCGTAAAAAGGATTTTTGTTTTCCAGGACCCCCCGAGGGTGCTCGACCTATACTTTGGTGCATTTTGCCGAGGGATGTTAGGACTTTAACCTTTTGATCCAACCAATGGGTTTTCCATTCAACCACTGAAAGTTAAACTTTTAGCAGGGGAGCAGAAAGCAACCGAGTATACAATGGGATAGCCACCTTCCAAAAGCGTTGCCAGTAAGCCTGTGGCCCATTCAATGCCGTTAGAGAGAGACTCCTTACGCTTTCTGAAAGCCTGGAAGACCGCAGGATACCGCAGGAAGACAGGAATACTTTGGGAGGAACATAGGAAGACGAAGTTGAATGCCAGTGGTGACTCAAAGTCTTGCATGGTTTTGCTCGGTTGCCTCGGGGTCTTCTCCAACACGTTTACATATCTTTATGAAAGATTTCCAGAAAATACGTTTTTCTTGTACCCAGATTTCTGCTAATGGGTCGAAAGACTTGGTGCTGGCAGGTGCATGCAGTTGGGGGATTCTCTTTTCGAGCCGCGCTTATGGCTGGAAACACCCTGAGCACGGCGCCGTTGACTTGTCCCCCCTACCAGGTGCCAGAAATTACCTTGCTAGGGGTAGACCCCTTGCTTCCTCGAAGGAACGCAGGTCATAGATTCATGGAAAGCGGGCCCGTCCTACCAATACTTCCTGGCCTTCCTCTTCGTCTTGATCGCTGGCGCGTCCCCCGGCGCCCGGCGTGTGAGTAACGCTCTACGGCTATACGTCAAAGGGTGGCTCCACGTCATCAGCAGATGGCAAACCTGCCTTCTGCGAAGCCGCTGGGAGCGCTGGTGCTGCATGCACATGCAAAGCAAGACTTCAATTTGGTTCAGAATATTCTTCATTTTCTCCTATTGGTTTTAAAAGGGGTTACTAGAAATATGTGTATTTTTTGCATGGGACTTATGCAAATGGAGGAAGACGGGGTTTGACAAGGAGAAGTTCAGGCTAGCGCGCGTGTCAGAACGGGAAATGGGCCGCCCTTGGGTTCTAAGAAGCCACTTTTGAGGATCCCCTGAAGCAGGAGGTGTTTGGATGTACTCGACACATGAACATGGACCCCCAAAAAACCCTTTCGTGTGTAGTTCGCAAAGTCCTCTTAGGCATCGGACTACTTTTGGGTTCCTTTCGTTAATTTGCAGGGACCACTCTAGGTGACCGGGGAAAACCATCCATACCAGGAAATACCCAAACAGTTACCTACTATGGTTTGTTTGGAATCCCCATTAATTAGGCAGGGAAATTTTTGGATGTCCCTCCCTCCAACATAGAACCTGACAGGAAGCTCCTGGAAGACCTTCAATTAAAATGAGACCCTCTGGTGGGTTCCATGCTAGACAGGAGGGCCCTTCCTGAACATGGCAAAGTTTTTTGGGAGAGTACCTGGAAGATCCGTTTCCTCCCCAAAAAAGATTCCGAGCCCCTTGTCAGGTGCTGTTTTTCGCATGTTAGAAAGGAGGGTGTGCTGGAAGGCGGCCGGTTGACAGCCTTGTTTTTATGAACCGAACCCTGAGGGTTCGCCAGAGCCTGGGCCTGCTGCGGCCGGACCAGGTGCCGGGGGGGGTTTTGGGGGGGTTTTGGGGGGGGGGAGAAGCCAGGGGGCGGGGGGGCGGGGGGTCGGGGGGGAGACTCACGCTGGGCTCTTCTGTGGGTAGGTCCTTTTTGATGGCACCCGTTTTGGGATGCTCGAAAGGGGGCCACGGAATGAAAGCCGCCAATTGCTTGGGTGTTGAGAACCCCTGAACCCTTGCAACGGGGCCTTCGAATAAGCACGGGGTCCTTGCGCCCAAAAAACCAAGCGCGGCCCTTCAAGGACACACAAATTGAGCGGTTTCGTTGAGGCTCAATGGTGAGTTGCAAAGGTGTGACGCGGGATGGTTGCTGTTCTGTTTTTCTTTTGAAGGGTACCCTTTGTGGGATGTGATGGATGTGTTTAAGGGGAAACCAATAGAAAACCCATGTCCACCCATCTTTTTTTTCTAGGATCACCGATCAGCTGGGCCCCCGATTGGCGGTTTGGATTGGTTTGGATTGGTGTTTTCCAATTTTCCCGCAGCAAGAACCAGGGGTTCCCAATCCAAACCAAGTACAGCTTACCTGAACCGACTTGAAGCAGCAACTGCTCCCCTCTTTCTCCATGCCGCTCCGGTCAATACGGGGTCACCTCCTTAGATCACTCTGAGGCCACCCTTTGTGAATGTAGGACAACCCCCCCCCCGCGCGACATGTAGAGGACACACTTTGCGGTGTCTAAGCTACGCAAGACGTATGACTGTGATCTTGGCCACGGCCTGGTTAAGGAGCTCGTGACCCAGGTTGACCTCCGAGCTAGCTGCTACTCTTGGAGGAGATGCCAAGCTGCCTCAAGAGTGCAAGCAACCGAGTGGATCTTGGCCCGCGTAGCGGGGTCCGCGTAGGGCGCGCGTAGCTGGGCATGGTGCCTGAATAGCGAAGTGCCAGAAAGGCGTCGCCCCTTCGACGAAAACTGACTGGTGACCAGAATACGGCCTGGCCGATTTTTTTGAGCCGCATTTGGGTGGTTTAAAGGGGCAAGCCAAAAGAACACCCTCCATTGCGACACATTTTCGGCTCCCGTCCAAAGGATAGCAAGATGCAAACACCCAGTTGGAGGCTTAATGCTACCTGAAGCAAATGGAAGCCCTAAGCGCAGAACTAGTTAGGACAGTCCCTGATTGGGGACTTCCCTGCAACGCAAACAGGGGCAAACAAAAAAGAGGATTCCTCTACAAGCAAGGGCTTTTGGTTTCCCATGGTACTTTAGAGACGGGTACACTCCTTGGGATATCCAGATATCGAGTCGCGGAAAATCTCTCGGCCAGGAGATGCAAGGGTGCCAGATGGTCCGCAGCCCCAGAGTAATGAGTCAGACATTCGTCCCCTTTGCGCCGGAGAAGGGTTTGGCGAAGTTGTAGCAAGCATTTAATTATGGCTAAAGTAATTGGCTAAATTGTGGCTAAATTGGCTAAATTGTGGCTAAATTGGCTAAATTGTGGCTAAAGTAATTGTGGAGAATGGTTTGGCCAAAGTTAATACTGTGGATGGTTGCGAAATCCATTTCGCACCACCTCAAAAACCCTGGACTGATGATTCCACTGTAAATACCGACGAACAATAGTTTCCTATGGTTTCATAGCGGTGCAGGGTTTCGTCCATCCACAGTAGGTAGTTGTTTATTGTTGGTTTGAGGAGGGAGGATATGGGGGACAATGATTGGCCCAAACACCAGAAATACCAACTGATGGTTGTGTCAGATGGGTGGGTGGTCAGATCAGCATTCCTGAATCAGTGCTTGTCAGACAAGGATGCTCCATGCATCCAAGCGCTTGGGGACGTCCTAAAATTATCTCAAACGGCAACCAAAAGGACCATTTCTTTGCAGCCCCCGAATTTCAAGAAGCACACATACTTGCTTGTTCCCCCCCGCCCACCCATCAAGCCCTTGAAAAGTGAGGGTTCTTTTATTGTCTGCTTGGGGGGTTGGGGGTATCGGAGACTCTGCAGTGAAGGGACTGCTTGGTTGACAATCAAGGGACCCTCACCCATAGAAAGCCAACCATGGGGAAACCTCCTCCTTGGCCGCCCTCAGCACTGGCTTGGATCGAATGAAGCCAAACATTGTAATGACTCAACTCGGTAAATGACGGCCTGCAACAAAACCAGCCTCTTGGGCGCTAAGCAGAGATGCCACGAGAGGGAAGCATGTTTTTGATGGACGAAAAGCAATGGATGCAGAACAAAACAAAAGCAACACCACCGGGACCCAGGGGTTCAATGGGAACGACCAAAGGTGTTTTCCCGATTTCCCCTGAGGGCAGAGGTTTGGTCGTGGAACTCATGGAATGTCTTGGTCAGTTTGAGATTCGAATCTCAAACAACGCGAGTTTTGCACGTGCTTGTATCGCCGGCAAAACCGCCAACCGGCAAGGCCCTTTTTTGTTAATGGTGACCCCATATCAATCAACCCCAGTTTATTCATAGGGGGCTGCTTTTCCCAGGGTGTAGTGGGGAATCACACCACTTTTGGAAGGAAACACCTTCCTATTAATAAACTGGGGTTAAGATTCATATGGGGTCAACATTACCCTCAATAAGAACACCGCCTCTTGTGTCCACTCTGTTGCCCAGTGGCTTCGTCCTTTTTTTCTTTTCGTCCTTTTTTTGGGGAAGGTATTCCCCTTTAAACTCAACTCGCCAGAAAATGGATGCCCTTTTGTTCCCCCACGGAAGTTCACTGGGCATCTGAGTTCAAGGAAAAACCCTCGAGAGCCACGGCTGACGGCAGGTGATGGACTTCATCCACTCGGGGTACTCCTGCGCCTCAATGGCGCGGATCTCAAGTCTCGATCTCTTTTCGCTCGATCCGGAAGGGTTGCTTCACGTTTCTTGGACAGGGCTGTGGTTGAAATGGAATCCACTTCTGTGATACAACAAAAAGGGCCTAACCCCACAGACTAACCCCCCATATAAAGAGGGAGAATCAAGCAGTTTCTCCAACCACTTCTGTGATACTTTTGGGAATCCCCCTTATGAAGAAAATAGTCCTTGGGGTTAGGCCCTTTCTGTTGTATCAAGTGGTCATTCCCCACAGCCCTGTCCGAAAGGGTTGCTTCACGTTTCTTGGATCAAGTTCTGGGTCCCCCAGCCAGGTGCAACCATTTGACCGTTTCGTTTTTTTTGTTGTTGGGAGATTCGGTTCCCCTTCTAAAATAGACTCCAGACAAAAATCGGGTACCCTTATTCTAACCTCTCTACTGGAGGACCTAGAGTTGTTCGTGTTTTTTTTGGTTCTGTTCATTTCGAAAATGTTGGTTCTGCTCATTTTCAGGTTCGGGGGGGTTAAACCAAGTTGTTTCTTCTTCTTCTTCTTCTTCTTCTTTTGGGTTCTGTTCATGTTTTAGGTCCGGGGGCCAACCAAAACTTTTTTTTTGTTTTGCCAACTCGATACCAAGGCTGGTGAAGATTGAGAAGGTTCAGTGAAGGTTCGGCCCCCATCACCCCACCTTAAACATGGAATTGGGAGGGGGCAATGTCTGGAATTCTCAGCCGCATTGGTCTAAGGGTAGCTTCCCCATTCTTTCCAAGGATCCTTCTTTCTAGAAAACCACCAAAACCCCCTGGGAAACAGATCCGGGTTTCGAAAAGAACGCTGGTTGAAAAGAATGGACAAGGACTCAACCCCTAGAATTGGGGTAGGATTGGCTCCCCTAGGCTCGTTGGAAACCAATGAACCAGATTTGCTCAGGGGAGAAAATGGGGTTTCCCGGGTTTGGGGGAAAAAATGGGGGCCCCCGTTTCTGTGCATTTTTTTTGGACGGGGCCCCGGTTTTTTCGATTTGGTCAAATTAGGACCCGTCGGTTTTCCAACCCCCAAACTGTCGTGTTCAGCTCGGTTTTGCCTCTGTTGGTCCAACAAAAAGCAGGACTCCCCCCTCAAAAAAACAAATAAATACATAACATCACGGCCCCTGCAAAAAGGTGCCCTTTAAAAGGAACATTGGCCAACGGTGCCCTTGAAAAGGAGCATGGTCCAAGCCAGGAACCCCCTTTGAACGTCAGGAAACCCATGGCTCCTTCGCTTGTTGGCTTTTTGGCAGGTCACTGACCTTAAGGGTTGTCAGTTGTCAGTGGGGCTCCTCCTGACCGTTTGCTTGCTTTCCATTTGCTGAAGAACATTTCTTATTTTCCCTTGGTGGCTTTAACGGGACTTTATCACTACTGGACATTTTTTGTTTTTTGCCAGGGGTCTTAGCCAAATGGAAGCTTGGCTTTTGAAACCTCCGGTCAGTGGCATGGGTTTTCAGAAAGCATCCGCATCGTTGGCCTTGGCTTTTGGGCTTCTTCTGGGATTTGGTCAGCAACCCTGCCTTCCGGCCTTCCCTCAAACCCAAGGTTCCCTTTGCCACACTCAACGTGTTTTTTGTTCTGCAGCCTTTTGTGTTTTCCCATATCCCTAAGTTTCAAGGCGACCCTGGCTTCGAGGTACCCCCTTCTTAATGTATAGTGGGGGAGAGGGTTTAATGTATATATTAAAGATTTTCGATAGTTCAAGGGCACCAACACCCCGGCACCGCCCATTTTGCTGCGCTGGTTGGGGCCATTTGCCTTTTCAAAGGGACCCTTGGGGTCCCTGGTCGCTCGACCGGTGCGTCGATCTCCCAGGCCCCGGCCTTCCGGCCCGACACGGATGCCGGCGGGGCCGGGAGCGGGGCCGGCAAGAGGAAGCCGCTCACGGAGATCCCGCCGGCCGGGGGACCAAGGCTTGGTCAGAGATTTGTCCGGATTCAGACTTGGCTCCCAATCACCCGGCTCCTTAGCCTTTCTTAGCCCTGTGTTTAGTGGTAGCTTCCCATTTTAAGCCACTAAAAGTTAGTCACTTTTAGCGGGGGATCAGAAAACGGGCAGCCCAGTTCACTTTTGTGGTCATGGGAGTCTTCTCGGCCAAGTGACCGGTGCCTTGGCAAAGTTCAGTGAGTTTCGAAAGGAACTTCCTAGCTGTTCCTTGGTTTCCCCCAACAAACAACTTCCCCCCTCCCACCAACACCAAGCTTTCTATGCCCAAACCAACAACCAAAAAAGTTGGGGCTTCCCCCCTCCCACCAACACAAGTCTCCTTTCCATGCCGGGATTGCAGGAGTTTCGGGGTTGTAAACAGATGCTTGAGGCGAACAGTACCAGCATCAGGAAGTTCACCAACAACTTCGATATACTCCCAATCGGACAGCGAAGTAACGGGTTCGGAATTGCTTTCTATAAATGAACATAGGTGTCTCTTTATCTGGATGTTGTGTAGGTTTGCTTCTGACCCCAGCCCTTAGAGGAAAAACCGTCTTATGTAGCTGCAGCTTAGCAAATCATGATTCCCAGCCTTTTAGCTTTTTAGCTTTTGAGTGGTAATTGATTTCCATTTCACCCAAAAGTTTGTCGCTTTCAGCGGGGTCAGAAAACGGGCAGCGCAGTTCACTTTTGTGGTTGGAAACACTCCCACCTCTGCCAAACTTGTTGGCTAATCCAGAAAAGAAAAAGAACCATGTTGAAGTTCATGTGGCGGTTGATGAAAAGGTCCTCCAAATGGGCAGACCATTGGGGAAAGCCACGAAGCAAAATGATATGTTCCACAGTCGTGCTTTGTGAGGGTACCCGTTTGGGGGGTTGGTTCAAGGGAAGCTAAAGGGAGATAGCCAGAATGTTTGGGGCGTTTGAGACACTCTTGAAAACTGATTCCGAAAATCCAAAAGGAGAGAGGGCATCGCTGGTTCAAGGGAACAGTTTTGGGTTGCCTTTTGGTTCAGCGGCGAACTTCCCAGGCTGAAGTGCCGCCGGGGCCCCCGGCATTCGACGGTATACTCTTCGGGCATACAGGGCGAAGCTCGCAGCTGGGGTGTTTTTTTGCATGGCTCCACCAATTTGACCACACACACACAGGGCTCCTTAAAAGATCTTTATTTTGCAACCATTTGAAACATGTTGCTTTTTCAACACCAAAATGAAAGAAAACCACCATTTACAAGTTGCAATGTTTGTAAGGATCCCTGACACATATGACGCTTGTCTAATAAAATTAGGGGAGCCCCCGAAATATATGTGTGTCTATGTATATGTATATCATTACATACCATACATATATATATATATATGTGTGTTCCTTTTAAAGGTTTCCCTTGAAACCAAGGAGAAAGGTTGCCCTCACAAGACACTCACCCAGAGTTGTGGGCCAGATTTAGCGTCCCATGAATGCATCAATGGCTAAGAACAAAGATGCGTTTCGCTGGAGGCTCAAAGCACCCCAGGTATTGACCCCTTGGTTTTCTCACTTGCCCAAAGCGGACCGACCTTCTAAGCTTTTGGCTTTCCCATTTTGTCCCCATTTTTAGTCAAGGTCCCAAAAGGTTAATCTTTTGTTTCGAGGTCGTTTGGGCAAGCGAGTTTTACCTTTGTATGGTTTCTTTTGGTTACCTACTGTAGTGGTAAGTCACTCGAAGCGCTGGGCTTGGCTATGCTATGCTACAATTTGTGGTTAACCTTGCCCTGGGGTGCAAGTCACCATCGAATCAATGGGGGCTAATAGAACCACCCATGGTTTACCTAAAAATTGTCATCGTCCAAATTGGGTCAGCCATTCACTCACTCACTCAAGTTCGCAAGGGGCCTTTGGTTTGTTGGTCAACCATTCTTTTCATGGGGCAAGGAACCCCTAGGGCTTGACTCTACATTCCTGGCCAGGCAGCTCCCGTCGGACCGGAGCTTCGTGTCGCGCTTGCTGGCGGGGACGCCCAGACGTTTGAGCCATGGACCCCTTTTTGGAACCTCTGAAAGTGGCAGTTTCCAACAAAACCACAGGGGAAATTGCGCGGTCAAACCATGGTTCAAAGCCATAAGCTATTGGTTTCCAAGTACATTGCAACCTTTGAAGGGGAAATCCAGGGACCCCTACAAAATGGCGGGCCCTCTTTTTGGTATATGATGCCATTGCCATTTTAGCAGAGCACGGTTTCTTCAAAGAAAACCCTTGCGGCTCCAGAAGTGGGTGGTTCGTTTGGTCAGTCCTGTCGAGCGAAGGATTTCCCAAACGACTCGCAATCAACACGTCGCCAGGCAATCCGTGGCGCTAGTCTCCGCCCTGATTCTCTTTGCATGATTTTGGGTAGATCAAACCAAGAGGGCATGGAACATGTGTATTGGCGGTTCCCAGCCGTCCGGTTCTTTTTCTTTTTACGTTTTTAGGGTTTAGTGGGGTGGTTCCATAAACCACTAAAAGTGAAACTTTTAGGAGGGGATCTGAGAGCAGTGCAGTTTTGATGCAAGATTGTCTCTATGTCAGGGGCCGGGTTCCGAATGGAGGAAACCTTTAGACTCGAGACCGTTCTCAAGATAGACCTTATCAGGCCTGAATCGGGTCCTATTTTTTTGGGATCGCTTTTGACTGTTTCGGTTTTTCAACAGTTACCATTGTTTTATGTTTTGTTTGCCTTCATAGGAGCAAAGGGAATGTGGCAGCTAGATGCCTGATGCGCTACTGGTCTCTATTGGAGTTCGGGTTGGTGTTGCGGAACATGCGGGCTCTTTGGGTACATATAGGAAGATATGGCGAACGATTATTTTTGAGGAAATTTTTGTGCAAAAGCCTTTCCAACTTGTATTTGACTTCCAACTTTTGCCAAATTTCTCTACTAGACTACCAACCAGACTTCCCTCTTTTTATGTGTTGGTACCCATTCTTGTTTGGGGTTACAGATACACCCACGAGGAAACCACCTTTTTTTGAAGTCCCTATTGTGACCACCTAGCTGTTTGGTTTTAGAAACAAACCCAAGAACACCCTCATTTTAGCGGGGCTCCGCTTCCAAAAAGACGGCTGCCCAGTTTGATTCGCAGGGCGCTTGGAATCTGAGGAGCAGGCGATGCAGTTCGTCACCCGGCTGGCTCCGGGGCCCAGCGGCGGGCGAAAGCGCCACCCATGGGATGGATGGTTTTGGCTGCGAGCTCCCGAGCTCACGAGGGGCGGTTTGTTTTCAAATTCGGAACCCGAGAAATGGTCTTCCCCTTTGGGTGGGTAAGGGGAAACCGGCAGGAAAGCTATGATTTTGAAGGGTTGCCTAAAAAAAGACACACCCATACACTCACTCCCTAAGCTCCGTTTCGAACTTTACACTTGGGTTTGGTTGCCATTGTAGTGATAAACAACCAGTGTGGCTGAGCTTTTTTTGGCCCATCAACTCAGGGAAGCTTGAGTGTCCCTCTTCTTCCGCCCCAAAAGAGTTCCCTGAGAACAAAAGACGCATCAGGTTAAACCTCGAGGTCAACAAATTATGGGCACCTACCAAAAGCGGCAACAGGAAGCAATGAGAATCCTTTCTCACGTCGAAGCGCCCCAGCGAAATGAAGTAAATCGGTGGAGTGTGCCCCGTATCTCGGCAAACCGAAAGCAGAATCGTCGAGCACCGGGATTCGAGGACCCCAAAGCCAGCGGAACGGTTTGGTTTCAGCACCTGAAAAGGGACATGCAGATGGTTGCAATTTTCATGCAATGCACCACCCGTTCGGAGAAATCCAAGGGTTTTTGGATTCGATTCCACGTAAATACCAACAGTCGCAACAAAAGGGACATTCCAAGGCACCCGTGAGAAACCCAACTTTTTCTTTGTTTCGATTCCACGTAAATACCAACAGTTGCAAAGGGTTCAACCATGCATGGATGTTGGCTGTGGGTCAAAACCAATATATTTTGGTTGGTAGGTGAATTCACCACTCATTTTAGAACCTATTTTAGTGGAGCTTGGATCGGATGATCACTGGGGGCGAACCGATTTTGGATTTTGACCCATGGATTCATTTCGTGATGCGAACCGATTTTTTTCGTACTTGAAGGAAGCCTCCGAAGTGCACTCAAGTTATGCGCCGGTTCAAGCGCTGGCTTCCTCAAGGATATCTCAACTAGGTCCCCCAGTAGTGCCAACTTTTACCGTTTCTTTTTTTGGGGGAGGGTTCCCCTAGACTACAGACAAAAGGGCACTCTCATTCTAACCTCTCTACTGGAGGACCTAGACAAAGTGGCCGTGCTGGGATAGCTAGCAATTTGCTTAAGCCTAAGATTTGGTCATCCCCGCCCCACCCGGCAGAAGGCCTCAAGACTCTTTTCGTGGATCTGTCTTGCGCGTCTCTCTTTTTTTACAGAAAATGGGTTGGGTTTTCAACTCTTTGTGTCCCTGTAAACCCAAGCACACACGGGTTGCCAACTGAAAAACAAAACGGACGAGCCACCCGAGTGGGTGTTTTTTTGGGTGTGTGTGTCCCCTTTTGGTTGGTTTAAAGGAGAAATCAAAACGATAATCATATCATTTCGGAGCCTCGCGCTCTTAAAAAAGACGAGCTTAGTCTCCGCCAGTCGCTCGCGCCAGTCGCTTAAGCACCGCAGCTTGGCTCGAGAGAAAGCGATGGCGACGCTCACGGAAGCCGTGCCGGAGGTTTGTGAGAAGGAGGCGCCGGGAACATGGGGGGTTCTGGTTGGGTTCTTGTCCGCGAATTCAGCACATGGGGCCCTTCTGGTTGAAAGAATGGGTTCTTGTGGACCGCGAATGCATCGCTTTCCCGAAAAAAGTCTCAGAGAAATGCGTCTTAAGGGATTTGGAGCCCCAGAATGGCTTCGGTGCTCCTCTTGGCTTCCTTTGAAGCCAACTCGAAAAGGGAACCGTTCGCCGCAAAGCTCCACAACACCCAGATGTCCATGGCAAAGCGCATAGCTCCCAATGGATTGGAATGACCTGTGCTCCTTTCGGCCCACAAGATTCGTTTGGTTTTCTTTGGGACCACAAAGGCACTGTGATCGGGTCGAATGGGAATCACTATTTGGGCCTTTCAAGAGGTTCCAACGAATTGGTTCCTATTGCCACAGGAGAGCGGGGAGCGTGTTTCGTAGCCGATTTTTCGGAGCCCATTTGTCCCAAATTCAGATCCCCAGCGTGTTATTGCCGATTTGTTGGATGGAACCCACTGGTTTGTTGGCTGTACCCATGCAACGGGTCCAATCAATCAGTCGAGCCCGAGGGGTTCTGGTAATTTTTCTCGGCCATGGGGCGCTCGTGAGATGAAGTTTGGCCAGGCTGGTGCAGTTAGCTGAGCCACTGATCAGCTGGCGCAAGTTCTGTTGATGAAGCCACCGGCTCTTTGGAGCCCTTGCTACTGTGGATGGTTGCGAAATCCATTTCGGACCACCTAAAAATCCATTTCGGACCACTGTTGGTATTTACAGGGGAATCATCCTTCTAGGATTTCTTGGGTGGTGCAGGATTTCGTCCATCCACAGTATTAGAAACAAATCCCCAATGATTGCAGCGCGAAGAAGAGGGTAGAACTCATTCAAGCCCATGATGGAAGACTTCACGAAGTCTTCGGGGGCACTGCTTTCAGGGCGACACATGGGTTTGTCTCCAAATAGAGAGACCTCAAAAATGAGCGGTTTTCCTTTTGGGTTTCCTTTAAACCAACACAAAAAAAAGGTACCCTCGACAAAGACACCCATATTCCGAGTCAGAGGAATCACTGGAGTGAAGTGTCAAACTTGACACCTTCTTAGGGAACGGTTTGAAACGGACACCAAGATGAGACTAACCACTAAACAGCCCCAGTTTTTGTTCTTTTTTTATTTTGTGGGGGGGGGGGGGGCTTTCAGACCAAAGTGAATCTCACTTTCAAAGCATGTTTTGAAGATTATTGGTTTAAACATTTGTGTGAGTTTTTTTTGGGTACCGCTTTTCGGGGTTGGTTTAAAGGAAAGCCAAACATCACGACCACCACTGGTGGGGCCCCCCTATTTTCACACACACACACACACCCATTTGGTTTCAATACTCAGGGCTCCTTAACAGATACATTTTGCACATGGCCTTTTCCGCCAAAAGAAAGGGACTACTATTTACAAGGCAATGTTCAGGTGTATAATGTAAGGATCCCTGATAATTACGTTGAACAAGGGCAGAGCTGCGCAACTGCCGAGCCCTGCAGCTTTTCAATTTTGGGCTCGAAGCATCGCCGAGGCCGCGGTTTTTGCTTTGATCCGCCCGACTCCTCGCCTCCTTGAGCGGGAGCAACAAACAACGAAGGTCAGGGGAAACGGCGATGGAGCCAGCCGCAATGAAGCGCCTGCGGTACGTTGCATAAGGTTTGAAACAGAACGGAGTATCAACCCCTAGAAAGCCACTGCCTCGGTCCGAGGAGTTTTGATGCTTGGCGGGCCTCCTGTATGTTTTTTGAACGAGGGAAACGGAACAACGGCCAACCCTCGTGCATCTAACGTCGTGCTGAGTTCTCGTTGAAGGGGTGAGGACCAATAGCACAAGTCCTTACACAGCCGTTAAGGGCACTCTACCTACAAGCTGGAACAGAAACCAGATGTCAAGCTGGAGCACGCGCTAATTGCAACACACCCATGCCACACTACACAGCGGTGCAAATTCCCAGGTCACAAAGACTCCCTACACAACCCACACCGCGTCCAAGCCAAGCAATTTCCTGAAGAGGACCCAAGTATTGGCGCACCAAAAGATCGCAACGAGCTCAGCAAAACGCCCGCAGAGAGCGCCTGGCTGACTCAGAGTCGTTTGCGAAGGGGTGTCCGCACCCATTGATCTTCGCCATATCAGAAGCAACAAGCGACACGTTTCGTTTAGAAGGATTCCCATTGGTCAAGCATGTCCAAGCCGTATCCAACGCTTGTCCAAGTGTCCACAGAGATGCAGCTGGGACACGTTTGATGGGCTGCCACCCTCATGTGGTCTCGCACGCCATGGCTGCTGCTTCTGGCTTTGAGGCCACAGGCCGCCGAGGCAAGGGTCAACTGGGGTAGGTGATGGTGGGTTGTGAAGTACACCAAAAGAAGAGGAGAACTCCATAGGGAAACCCGAGAGGACACCCACAATCAGAAGGAAACCTCATGGGTTTGGGTTTCCCTTCAAAGAAAATTGGACCTGGATCGAGCCGTGTCTGGTTGTATCACATGTTGCAACCAAACCCGGTACGAGGGGACTTGATTGGTTCAAGGGACCCTTTTTGCGGGTTGGTCTGCGAAAAGTCAAAAGGACAACCCACTCATTTGACGGTTCCAATTCCTATTTTGAGACACCCCCAAGTAAAACCTACAAGTTAGGGGTTCCGAAACCCGTGTGTTGGGTATCTTTTGGGGACGCTCTGGGTTAAAAGCACGGCTTTTCACACCCTAAACATGTTGATTGCCCTTTGGTTTGCACTTGAAACCTGCAAACCCAGGTGGACCCTTAAACCCTTTTTGAAGCCTTTCTGAAACCTACATCAGAACCTTTTGGAACCTTAGTCCTTGAGACCTCAGACCAGGTAGAACCTTCACCTCTTTTCCATAAAGTAGGGATGGCCCCAAAAGTACCTGTTGCAAGTCCTGAAGCCCAACCCTTGGCCCCAGAACGCCCCTTCTCCACCTTAAATCCACGAGGGAATGTGTTAAAATGGGGGGGGGGGGTCTTCCTTATAACCAGGCTGAAAAGGGTAAGGCCCAAGGTCCAAGGCCCCTGAAACCCTGATGGAAGCCTCTTTGAGACCTAAAGGTGATGGAACTTTTGGGGTAGACCAAAAGGTTGATCATGACCTGCAAGATGGACAAACCCATTGACGGGGGTACCTTTTACAGTGAAACCTAGAAATCCAACCCCTAGGGCCTCTAGGGACTAAAAGAATGGTTGACCCAATTTGGATGACCATCCTTAGGTAAACAATGCATTGGTGGTTTTTTTAGCCTTCATTTTGTTTCAATGGCGTTTTTTGGGTTTCCCTTTAAAAGCATCCCAAAGGGTCCCGACCCTTCTTGGTTTCCTTTTGTTTTCCCTTCAAGCCTAGAAGCACCCCGAAGAACCCACAAATGTGACCATGGTTCAAAACCTATGGCTCCAGTTTGGGATAGGTGCACCACCCATTTTAGAACATATTTTAGTGGTTGGATTGGGATGTTCGCGGGCCATGTCACAGAATAAACGGTATATATCCCACTGAACACCTTGGGGTTTGGGGTGGTCTTGGGGTGGTCTTGGGGTGGTTTGGGGGTGGTGGTTTGTTGCTAAGGGCGCCTGGGCTCCTAGAATGGAAGGTACCCCTCAAAAGCTGGACAATCGCTGCTTCACTACCCAAAAAATATATGTTATGTTCTTCTCTCTTAAAACAAAAAAACACATGTTTCCCCGGGGGCGAAGAAGCAAATGGAAGACACATGGTCACATGATTGTCGTTGACCGCTTGCGAGCGGCCGAAGTTCGCGGTTAGGTGGAGAACTTCGACTTCTCCCAGGTGAGCTTCGCGCAGCCCGTGGTGGAGGATGACTTCGAGGACGCCTTCTACGAGGCCTTCGGCGGCGTAAGCGGCCAGCGGCCGATGCGCGTGGCGTGTCGCGGGTTTTCCGTTTTTGGGGAGCGGGGCGGGCGGGAAGAGGTGTTCTTGGGATTTTGTTTGGGGGGTGGGATTTGCGCTGGGATTTCTGGGCGGATGTTTTCGGGCGGGATTTCTGGGCGGATTTTTTTGGGGGAGAGGGGGAGGATCTCAGAGGGGATCTGTTGGGGTTTCGGCACTTTTGGAAGCTTTGGAAGCTTACCCTTCGACAGCATCACGATGGCTGGTGTACACCTTGCGCGCTTTGGGAGTTGTCCTTGTTCCAACTTGTACAAGGTGGGTGTACGAGAAAAAACAGGGCTGCAAATGGCCGCAAATGGCTTCCCTTGCGGATTGTACGAGCCACGGTATGTTAGGCATTCATATGATTCTCCTGGAACATTTCTCGGATCAAGCAATTGCACATAGGCTGGACCACTCCAAAAGGGAATTTCTGGTGGGCACGGAAGAGTATTTACCTTCCTCCTTTTGGTTATTTGGCAACGGATCTTTGTGCCTTAACTTTTTGGTTGAAACGGGTCGGATATTCCGAATTGGATTTTTGCAGAGGAGTCCTTACCTCCCGAGATTCTGGGGTCTGATCATCAAAAGTCGCAAAGCGCGGTCAACAACAACCAAGTCCTCAATAGGGGACATACCTGCGACCTCCGGAGGGTACATTTTTTTTGCATTTGGCGAAAAGGCATTTGTTTCTGCCGTTTCACGAAAAAAGCGCGGTTTGCCTGAAAACCTGCCGTTTCACAAAATGCTCGTCCAACGGTCGGGAAAAGTTGCCGTTTGGACGGGAAAAGTTGCCGGTTGGACGGGTAAAATTGCCGTTTTGATTCAGCAAGCAACCGCCTGTATTGCTCAACTTGCAAAGTGTCGTTTCGCACAAAAAGTGCCGTCTCGATGGAAAACATTGTTTTTAACCAAACAGCAGAAAAATGTACCCGCCAGGAAGCCACAGGTATCATGAATATTTGTCCTTTTTCTTTTTTCGTGATTTTCCCCAAGGGTCATGTAAAGGACCTTTTGATCAGCCCTCATTTACGTTCCTTTTGAGGCTGCTCCTTACTTCATATTTCATTCGCGGGGCTGCTTGCTTCGGACGGGGCGTCGAAAGGCGGTGGCTTCTGCTCAGGACGGGGAGTCAAGTGGTCGTCGGGAAGGGGGGGCGATTTGAGGGGTCAACGTTTGGCAGAATCTTCACCCTTTCCCAAATCGTTGAAGAAGGTGTCCTTTTGATCGGTTCAGTTTGATATTTCCAGTAGATGGCACGGGTTTAGATGGGATGTATTCCATTTACCAGGGCCAGCTAGTTTACCAAAAGATCACCCATGGTCGTGCATCTTTTCCCGTGACTAAAATGATGAAAGTATGTATGGTTTAGGGTTAAGCGTTTTCCATGGAGTTGAGCAAGTTGTTTGGTTTTGTTCGGGGTTGCCCCCTTTTGGTTCCAGCACCCCAAGAATGCAGTCCGCCTATTTTGAGGCCCCATTTGGATTGGTCTCATGGAGAATGTAACCAGAATGAGTGGTTTACCCAAATCCCTTTGCAACGATTCCCCCAAAAGGGATCCCCCGTAAAGAAAGCACCCGTGGCTGGCAGGGGCACCAAATCTTAGGGTTTGACTTTTTTTTTAGGGGTATGTTTTGGGTTTTTCTCAATTATCCGCAAAGTTGCTTCGGTTGTCCTTTCGATTTTCCACTAAAAGGTGTACCAACTCCCAAAAGAGACATCCATGTTGTAGCCAGTCTTCCCTGGATTGGAGATGGGGTCAACTCTTCCAGCAGTCTATGCTTTAGTTGGGAAGGACATGGGGTACTCACAAAGTCGCACACATTTGCGGGGACTCACCACATGTTCTCCACGTCTTTTTTGGAGAAACAAGTCATTTGGACCGTGGCTCAAATCACCTTCTAGGTTAAGGGTTGTCGTAGGGTAGGGTTTGGGACCGGGATGGTGGACCGGTTTGCGGTGAGTTTTTCGGGTTGTTTGGCCACATCTTTTGACCCTGATTTGGTTTCCTTCATTTAGGACTCCCCAAAGCCGGCTCATTCCCAACACCCGGAAAGGTCATTCACCTTTCGCGCCAGCAAGTTACTCTTCCCACTAACATGGCACCTTTGGGAAGGTGCCTGAAAGATCAAATTCCCCTTTAAAGGCACCTCCAGTCAGGTGCCATGTGAGTGAGAGGGAGGGTAGGATCCACGAAACAAATCGATCGCAAACGGGCACACGCGGTCGCTTTGTTCACGTCCATGGCCCAGCGCCGGGGGTCAGCGTTAAACCAATCGGGGTGCCCTTGAACCACCATTGCTTACGGAAGGAGTTTTATCAACCAAACTGAGTCCACCATTCAGCAGGTTGAACCCTGGAAGCGTTCCAACACTCCTATCTGGAGCGCTCCAAATGGCGCTGGGAACCCAGGATTGCTAAAATCTGTGGGTAGGTGTCCAAGTCTTCAGGGGGGGTTCCTTCACTTTCCATTTGGAGACTGGTTCACCCTACTTAGAAGTCTGTTAAGTGAGTAGAACAAATCGGCTCCAAGGGAAAAGTTGCCCAAACTGCTCACTCTGCCTACTTTCTGGGGGTGCAACAGCAACGGTGCAGGTCCAGGATCCAATCCCTTCAGCTTTGATCTGGTCAATCACACTGGATGGTCAAAGTACTTGACCATTAGAAACATACTGTGGATGGTTGCGAAATCCACTTTGCACCACATAAGAAACCCTGGAATGATGATCCCCCCCTGTATATACCAACAAGCAATGGTTTTCCCCATGGTTTCAAAGTGGTGCAGGATCACCCACAGCAGGGTTTCTGAACGGTGCTGCGAACGGATCTCGTCCACAGCATAATCTGGTACTTGCTCCCAACAGCCCCGTTTGGACTTTCCCCGCCCAACTTCAACGGTCACAGCCAGTCCGACGTGCATACCGACTCCAATCCGGTACCCCAAAATGCGCAAAAGTTTTGAAACCACCAGTTTCCCTGTGGTGGGTTTAAACATCGTCTTGTATTGAGCGGAGGAGGCGGAGTCCTGCTGTGGCCTGGGGGACGAGGCTCTGAGGGCCTGCGCCTTTGTCGACATTTGGATGTGTCTCTTTTAGGATTCGGACACCCCCCCGAAATGGCAGATTGTTCATTTCTCCGTTTTGGGGTTCTTTTCAAACCAAGCAAAAAGGCATAAAAGCAAATTCATGGCAGGTGTTTCATGTTTTATTGTTGGTTTCCCTTTGAAACTAAGCAAAAAAGGCAAAAACAACATTTTCAATTTTTCCTTGGGTTTCCCTTGAAACCAAGCAAAAAGGAAAGTAAGCCCCAAATGGCCGGTTCTTTCCTGGTCCATATTGGTTTCCCTTTGAAACCAAGCAAAAAGGCAAAACCGCCAAAAATGGCTGGTTGTTCCTTTTCTTTTTGGGTTTCCCTACACCTTTTCAGGGAGCTTCACCGGCGGTGTGCCAGAAGTGGCTGGCGCTACCACATGCCGCGCACTCGCCCTGACTCGGGATCTCCGATTCGCGCTGCGCCTTTTGCGAACGACGCCAGCAGGGAAGCGTATGTGATCATAGGTGTCCTTTTTGGTTGATTTGGTTGAACAATAGAGGGCGATTCCTGGTTTAGCTGGTGGTTCAATCAACTAGGGAAACCCATCTATTGTCCTTCAAAAAGGACACCTATGCAGGGAAGCCCTTGCTCTTTGCAGTGGCTTTTAGACGACCCTGCGACCTGCCTATTTCGGCAAGGCTGACTCTGGGCGGATGAGATCCGCAAGGAACTGGCAGCCCTGCACCACCTAAGAAACCCTAGCTGGAATGATGATTCCCCTGTAAATACCAGCAAACAATGGTTTCAACCATGATTTTAAAGTGGAGCAGGATTCTGTCCATCCACAATAGGAATTACCCCGGACAAAGACAACAACGCCGTTGCCAGCCCAGAGCCGTCCTGCTGCGAAAGCATTTGCTCTGGGCGCGCGTCTTGCTAAGCCTTGATATCCCAGTGGCCCGACCAGAGCTGGCCAACTGTATTTCTTCCTGCTGTCGTTTGCTGGTCCCAATCGGGATCCCGGGAATCGAGTTTACTGATTCTCTACTGTACTTTGCGGGTTTTGGTTTCCCTTTAAAACCAAAAGCAAAACAACCAAAATTGCCCTGTTCACCTTGCTTAGAGACTCCCAAAAAACCCGCTCGTTTGGGGTCCAAGTACGAAGTGGACAGGTGGTTGGGTCGGTCGTAGGCGCAAACTGTCGTGCAGTCACGAATCCAAGAAATCGTTTTGTGGGAGGCAATTGAAAACACCGCTCAACATTCCTGGTCTGTCTATGCCTAGTTTGGCAGGCTCGGACGAGCCTCGGGTATCAATTTCACACAGCGCGTTTTTTTTGTTTTTAACCGTGGCTCAAGTGGGAAACCTGCAGAATGGGAGGCGTCCTTATGGTGTTCCTTAAAACTGCCCCAAAAGTGTACCCTCACAAGAGGCATGCAAACAGGTGTTTGTTTATTTGAGGGTAGCTCTTGTCAGGTTGGTTTAAAGAGGGAGCCAAAAGGCAAAGCACTATTTTTGGGTACCCCTTTTGTGACACATACCCAAACTGGGTTCTTGGTTGTCATTAGACATGAGGCTGTTGGACTTCCATTTTCTATGATTGGCCATACAAACTTCCCGAAGAGCAAATGCGCCTCCCTTGTTCTCAAAATGCCTTGTTCTCTTTGAGATTACTTTGAAGCAATCGCTCGGGCTATGTCGAAGTGCTGTGCTCTCGGTTTTGTGTTCACCCTTACTACAAGTCCAAGCTTTCAAGCGTCTCTATGGCACAAAAGGCATCCTGGTTTTGTAGACCCTCAACCTCTCATTTTGGGCCCATGGAGCATCAACATGGAGCCCCTCAAGACGAAGTTGGGTCCGTCTTTAGTTGGGCCGGACACGGCAAGTCATCACAACCTCAGGGGTTCGGTGTGCGGGTTTGAAAACCCATGCAGGTTCGTTTCACAGGGGTTACCCCCTTTAATGTACCGGGGTCTCCGCCAAACTATTTTATGTTGTAAGGTTGACGAAATATAAAGCAGAATCATAAGGTATTCTTTTCTGAGGGCCAAGTTTAGGTTGACATCTTCTGCTTCGCTTGACATGGACTGCCGTAAAGAAACCGTCGCCCAGACACTGCAGCAAACCCACGAATCCTCCCTCACACTAACACGGCCTTCACGTCACTGTTGTGGGCAAGTTGTTTGGATTTGTCTGTTCATTTTTAGTAAAGCAAAGTTGTTTGCTATCATAAAGGCTGTAGAGTTAAGGAATTTAACCTTTTCATCACCTAGCTTGCCGTAATTGATCTACCGCAATTCGAGTCAGGCAGTGGTGAAGTTTGTTTTGCACTCCCTTTCAACCCAGCTCAACACAATGTCAACTTCCACAGAGAAAAGCCTTCAGTTCCAACCTGAGAAGGGTACCGACTCCAGGCTTCGAGTTCAAGCTCTGAGCCAAGCTGAGAAAGGTAGCACGCCCCAGCAAGCAGCAGCAGATCCGAGGGGATGTTCGCTGAGGTGCCAACAGAACCGCGCCCATCAGCGCCAAGCTGCAGCCTCTCGGTGAGGGCCAAGCCGCAGGGCTTGGGCCACTGGAACGTGGGAGGGACCCGGATGGATCTTCCAGAAAACCCAAGTCCCTTGCGGGAAAGCTATACTTGAAAGCCCCTGGGTGTTGTTGGGAAACATGTTTCCCATTTTTGCTTGTTGTGGTTTAGTGGTTGAAATCCCCACTGAACTGCCAAAATTTAAGTTTTTGCCCCCCCTTCCAACGTCAACCAAGATGAGTCACTGGAGAATGGAGGTGTCATTTTACTTCTGTGGCCATCAGTTGTGGGCTTGGCCTGCAGAAAGGGGTCGCCGAAACCAAAAAAGACGAGGGGGCCCCCAATTCTATCGGTGTTCCGTTGGGTTTCCCAACGCAGACCCAAAAAGGCGTGTTCCGCTGCCAGTGGTACGGACTCAGATGGAGCCACGACCACAATTCGGCGTATGATCCGAGTTTGGGCGAGTTGCGGCGAGTGGTCGGAAGCCTACAAAACGACCCGGCCCAACTTCCGAATTAGGGCCAACAATCACTGGTGTCGCCCCCGATATGAGTGTTTCCCCTTAAGCTTGACGAACTATGATGCGGCATTTGAGCACATGTGCCTTTTGTGAGGATCCCCCCTTTTGGAGTTTCAAAGAGAAACCAAAGGGACAGATCCCAGTCTTTGGGGATCCGAATCCTATTTTGAGACACATCCATTTGTTTTCCAACAAGAAAACCACCAGGTATGTGGAAGAGGGGCCCCTTGTTTTGTACCTTGTAGGGGCGGACTCCTGCATTCTCTTCAAATACGCGCTGTTCTCCTCGGTCTTCGCTGGTTTCCAGAATGGGGAAGTTACCCCTGTTTTCTCACACCAACCCCTCCCTTGGGATCCATGGTCTAAACCAGGGGAAGCTCTCCCAGTTTTCGTTTCGGACAGGGAGTCATTCCCACCCGACAACTTGATTCCCAAAACGCAGCAGCGCAAGTTGAATCGCACCAGCAAGATTTGGGGAATCAATCTGACCCAGAATTCGGGGTGATCCCCTAGTAAACCGGTGCATGGAGAACCGGCTGGTGAGCCTGACACACGCACCGCCGGGGTTCCACTTTTTGACTACCCCAAGATAGACTTAAGCCATGGCTTCTCCTTTGGAGGGAATGAACCACTGTCTGTGTCTACCCTAGTCAGAAAGTGGAACCATTGGCTAGGTCCCCCCAGTAGTGCCCTTTTACCTTTTTTTTGGGGAGGGTCCCCCTACTAAAATAGACTATAGAAAAAAATCGGGCACCCTTGTTCTAACCTCTCTACTGGAGGGCCTAGTTGGGGTTCGCTGGGGTTGTTATTTTGACGGTTTCTGGGGGTTATCAAAGTCAGAAAAATGGGGGGGGGGGGTATTTCCCTTTAACCCACTGAAGGGGGATGACTGTGATGGTAAAACAATGAGGACCTAGTTGGGGCAGTTGGGTGAGACGCACCGGATTGGGAGGGTTCCCCTACTAAAATAGAAAAACAAATGAGAAAGTTGGTATACCCTTATTCTAACCTCAAACTAAGGCTTCCCCTACTAAAATAGACAAACAAAATGAGAAAGTTGGTATAATTACCCTTATTCTAACCTCAAACTAAGGCTTCCCCTACTAAAATAGACAAACAACATGAGAAAGTTGGTATACCCTTATTCTAACCTCAAACTAAGGCTTCCCCTACTAAAATAGACAAACAAAATGAGAAAGTTGGTATACCCTTATTCTAACCTCAAACTAAGGCTTCCCCTACTAAAATAGACAAACAACATGAGAAAGTTGGTATACCCTTATTCTAACCTCAAACTAAGGCTTCCCCTACTAAAATAGACAAACAAAATGAGAAAGTTGGTATACCCTTATTCTAACCTCAAACTAAGGAATCCCCTACTAAAATAGACAAACAAAATGAGAAAGTTGGTATACCCTTATTCTAAGCTCAAACTAAGGCTTCCCCTACTAAAATAGACAAACAAAATGAGAAAGTTGGTATACCCTTATTCTAACCTCAAACTAAGGCTTCCCCTACTAAAATAGACAAACAAAATGATAAAGTTGGTATACCCTTATTCTAACCTCAAACTAAGGCTTCCCCTACTAAAATAGACAAACAAAATGAGAAAGTTGGTATACCCTTATTGTAACCTCAAACTATCGCTTCCCCTACTAAAATAGACAAACAAAATGAGAAAGTTGGTATACCCTTATTCTAACCTCAAACTATTGGAGGACCCGACCTAGAAGGCGAGTACGCACCGGACCCGTTGGAAACTGAGGCTCCTGGTGGTGTCCCACGCTCCCGCAAGCGCGGCCGCGGCCTTCGCCGCCTCCACGGCGGCCCTGAACGCCATGTGGTGCGCGGAGCGAGGCCGGAGCGATGCGCCGGTTGGAGCAATGCGAAGCGCTGCGAAGCGCGTGCCCTGCAGTTGGCTTTTCATGGTACCCAGGTGTTCAAGGCTTTTGGAACTTTTGGAGTTGATAGACCTGGCTTTGAAGGGCTTCATAGATGTTTTAAGTCTCTTTTAGTCTGGGTGTTTCTAAGCCCCCGCCCAGCTCAGTCCATTCCAGGCAGGGGCCCTCGCACCTTTCAGGTCAGGGTCGTTCTTTCTTGGGTTCGGGCTTCATGCTTTGAGGAATGCTGGACATCCGGTTCCTTGTATGTTTTCGTTTTTTAGGGTTTAGTGGTTAGGTTTCCGTTTCACCCACTAAGAGTTAGAAACTTTTAGCAGGGATCTGACAGGCCAGGCCAGGACGAACCAACCCTTGATTTCTCAGGGGCTGATTCCCAGTGGAGGGAATCCGCATCACGGCATGTCTTTTTGCAAGAACAAGCCCTGGACATAAGAGAGGCCACAAGGGCGGAGTGGCTGAAACTTTCAGCATCTTCAAGTAGATTGGCCCAACCCAAAGGACTGACCTTTTGCCGGGATCCTTTTAAGGTGTGATGTCAACTGCCGGATTTCGCAACAGGAGGGGTGGCTTGTTGCGAAGTCATCCCATGAGGAAGCGGTTGCTTTCCTGAGTCTGTCATCAAGTTTTTCTGGCCGCTTGTGTGTGTTGCTTCTTGTTTTGAGGAGGTCCCTTGGGTCAGCTGATGGCTCAGGGGCATTCCGTTGTTTCAGGTTGCCAATTAAACCACCAGGAGGTCCCAACAAAATTTCAGGGGGCATTGCATGAGAACTGGCTTTGGTTTTGCACCTTTTGAGCGCGCCTCCGCCCTCAGACAGCGGCAGAGAGCGAGAGAGAGGGAGAGAGATAAGGATAGAATGGTGATGATTCATCCAGCAACATGGCTTGCGTTTTCCTTTTGCCTTTTCCTTCCTAACACCAAAAGGAGTTTTGTTCAAGACCAAATCCCGGGCTTCAGTCGGAAGTCATCCCTGTTGCCTTTAGCTCTTTGTCCCTTTCTAATGGGGAAGGATGGTGCTTTGAACATCCAAACCTCAGGAACATAAGGAGAACTTAGTGATCACTGAAACAAACACTATGGGGCAACCCCCAGCAAAGAAAGGTCGCGGGTTCGCTTCGGTCCTAGTTGCTGGCTCGCTTCGGTCCTAGTTTTCATCTCGCTTCGGTCCTAGTTTCCTTACTCGCTTCGGTCCTAGTTTCTTCGCCGTTGACTCTGGTGTTTGAGAGGCAACATCCTTGTCGACCCCACCCCACCCGGCATGTCTTGTTGTTAGGTGTTTGAGAGGCAACATCCTTGTCGACCCCGCCCCACGCGGCATGTCTTGTTGTTAGGTGTTTGAGAGGCAACACCCTTTGCGTGTGTCCTGTTGTTAGTGCTCAAAAAGCTATCTTCCACTGCGCCTGAAGTGATCCAAAACTTGCGACAGAAGTGATCCGCAAATGCTCAAACTACGACCAAAGTGAGTGGATTTCAGCTGCGACCAAAGTGATCCAAAAACTGCGACCAAAGTGATCCCCCCGCCGCAAAGAAACCTTGGGGTGGGATCGAATTGGATTGGTGGTTTGGATGCGGATCTGAAGCCCTGGTAGGGGGTAGATGGGAGATCACCAGCTCCGAACAACGAATCCAGGCCAATTCGCAATAAGTCACAATATGTACCCCACATGGAACGCTGGTAAGTGGAAACATGAACCAAAACCTGGTCCCCTGGTGGTTTAATTTGACCCATACCCAATTCAGGGCAACCTGAAAAAACGGAAGGATGCCCTTGAGTCATCAGCTGACCCAACATCATTCTTTGCCTCGAGGACACGCCTTCGTGCTGGACGAGCGCGAGACGGTTTGGATGGTCAGCAGGATCCAGGCGAATTTGGCCGAACTTCTTCTTGTTGCGGGGAAGCCACGCCCCAAAAATGCGCCAAGTGATTGTGTTGGGGCCGAAATCTAAACCCTCCATCTCTTTTCGAGACTTTTGCACGGGCAGATGTGATCAACATCTCATCCCAAAAATCAGATGAGTTTTTGCTCCAAGCGGAAAACACATCCGTCTCGTTTGGTGTTTCCCCACCAGCAACGGTCGTTCGAATCGCCAAAGTTTGGCGGTGGTTGAGCCCAAAAAGCGCAGCTAGCGGATTTATCTAGGGGTTGATTTCCCCATTTCAAACATCGTTCTTTTCAAAAACCGGATCCGTTTCCCCTGGGTTTTTGATGGTTTCCTGAAAAGATTCGAATCTCTGGAAAGAATGGAAATGGAAGGTACCTCTAGCAGTTTACCCGAAATGGTGGACATCCGAAAATTTGCTGGGGAGTCCCTTTTCCACCAAGCACTTAGGTTCCAACTCAAATTCGATCCAAACACAACCAGGCCAGGTGGTTTCCCAACAACTTCCAGACTTCCGGAACTTCCGAAGCCGCTCCAGAGCCTATTTGGGCATAGACCATAGACCCATATAGACCCCAAAGCTCCCGGTTTGGGGAATGAAATGGAGTTGATGTTTTTCAGGGCACCCTTTTGGTGGTTCCAAAGTGAAGCCAAAGGGAAATTCGCCATCTTGGGGGTCCAGGGAAAAGACAAAAAACCCGCCCAATGTACAACAAGAAAACGGGTCGAGGCTCGAAAATGGGTCGCAGGTGGATATCGCCTGTTGGGGCCCCGCGCTAGGTCATCCCTCACTGGTTGCGGCGCTGCAGACAGGAGGCGATCGAATGGATGCTGTGGATTGTGGCTTGGCAAGGGACAGGATGAATCTGGAGGATCTTAATAGTCACAGGAGCCCTCTCCTCGAAATAATGCTGACCCCGGATTAATCAACCGCTGTTGATTCATATGGGGGTGTCGCTGGTTTTAGTGGGGATTCATCACTTTTGGAGGGGAGCACCCCCCATATTAATAAGCAGGGGTTTATTAATCCGCGGTCAATGTTAGATTATTTCCGGAAAAGGGGGACCCCCGACTCAGTTACTAGCTCCCCCAGTAGTGCCCTTTTGCCCCTTTTGCCCCTTTTGTTTGGGAGGGTTCCCCTACTAAAATAGCCTACAGAAAAAAAAAGGTCCCCTTATTCTAACCTCTCAAATCTGCAGGACCTAGGTTAAGTCATTTTGACCCTCAAGAAGTCAGAGAAGGATTGAGCGGAACGGAGCATCAACCCCTAGAAGCCACCTCCCCGAGTTTTGATTCGTAGTTGGCCGACCTCCGGTCCTTATCTCAAGAGAAAAGGACACCACTCGATCGGAAGTAAAGAAAAAGGAAAGCCTTACTCAGCTGCTTGGGTTTGGACCATGTTAGTGGCAACAAGTGTTGACTTTGTCTGGCCTGGAACATGTGGCAAGCAACAAGTTTCGGACTTTGGCCAATCAACTCAGGAGGTGAGAAAAGGACAGCTGACGGTTTCTTGCTAGGCCCCCAACCATGGCCTCGAACGACCGACCGACTCGCGCGCGCATTTCGAGGACTCGGACGCCTTTCTGGCGGAAGAAGACGTCGACCTAGTGGCGGAGGCCGGAAAAAGGACCTCCCAGTTGGACCCCGCCAGTGATTTTCAATTTGGGCGCGATACTTTTTTTTGGAGTTGATACCGTTTTTTGTGGTTTCAAAGGGAAACCAAGAGGGAAAACCACATGTTTTGTTCTTTCTTTATGTTTTCTTGTTTTGGGGGGGGGTCCCCAAAACAATGCTCATCTATTTCCTTGTTGGATGATTGGTTTTGACACCATCCTTAGACAAAAAGAGAGAAAATGGCTGGCTTCCAACTATAGTGGTAGCATGAGGGATCCTCCCCCGATGTTAAGTGTAGGGAGTGCCATCCTCTTGTTTATGGGTGCAATCAGATTTCCCACAAAGGCTAAAAGGGAATGGGCCTACGGCCTTTTCAGTGTTTCCTACCTTGTCTCTTCAAAGCGTGTGGCTTGAGCAACTGCAGATTTGGGTATATCCTTTCTTCGGGACGGACCTCTGTTTTGGTGCCAAGCCCACCCCAAAAAATTGTGTGGTACTGTGGATGGACGAAATCCTGCACCACCTTGAAACCATGGGACACCATTGTTTGTTGGTATTTACAGCACGAGTCATTATTCCAGCGTGTCTTAGGTGGTGCAGGATTTTGTCCATCCACAGTATTTCAGGAGAAACCAGCCATTCAAGGACCCCGCTTTTTATTGAGCAACGCCCATCCAGAGTTCTCCGGGCACCTGGATGCAGGTGATGCGGCAGCACGATGCCCACATCCTGGTGACGGAGCACGGGCATACGGACGCTTTGTCCGTTGGGTGAGCGTAATGCTTTTGGGGATATCAATGCCCCCAACAATCGAAGTCAGGAATCCGTCAAAACTACGCAAAAAGGGGTGTTTAACATGAGAGGCTGAAGAAATAATATAAAGGTTCCCATGGTCATGACTTAATTTAGCAGAGTTTAGTGTTATGGTACCCCCAATCTATTTTTTTCGTCCCTTCAAACAAAAAGATGGCACGATTCCTCTCATTGCCTGCCATGCTTTGGTCATCCTTGTTACCCACATACAGAAAAACATGCGGCATCTACTTCCACGGGTGGCGGCTACGTACGAGTCTGAGCGTCCTCAAAAAATGGGATGATAGACAGAAATCATGGCCTCCCAAAACGGTACGACAAGCAATATGACCCGAGCATCATGACCACCATGGTGACCGCGGAAGTAATGGTTGTGCTGCTGCTGCTGCTGCTGATGATGATGATGCTGATGATGATGATGATGACGATTATTATTATTGCTACCAGTCTAGTATCATCAGAACCGTCATCATGATCATCACCAAGTATATGTTGCGGACACAGGCTGTTTGCCTGCTTCATGAATGCACAATGGACACGATTACCCAGGTGTCGGTCAGTAGCGCAGTCTCTGGTCGGTTTTGCAGATCAAGGGAACATCGGCTTCTGGTAGACCCCTATCAGCTTCTTGTGGTACTATGATCTGGTACGTATTCTCAACAGCCCCTTCTGGGTAGGGACACCAACAGTTTCTTTCTTTCTTTTGGTGGGTTTAAACATCATCTTGTGGGCCAATTTGATGTGAGTTTCCCTTTGATGATGTTGAACGGGGAGCATCGAGAGGCCTGTGAGGGTGCCTCTTGTTGAGGGGGTTTCTCCTCAAAGTCAACTTGGTCTGGGATACTTCTGGTGTTTGTGGTGTGCTTTAGACCCATAGGCCGTAATGACAAGCAACCACATCCATTTCGTGAAGACAAGTGATTCCATGTGAAAAAAGGAAAGGGGGATCCCTTTTCATGGCTCCTTTTTTCCCTTTAACATCCATCTGAGTCCATCTTTTTCCTTGGGCACCAACCTTTTTGCTTGGTTTTAAAGGGACGCCAAAGCCGGAACGCAGCTTTTGGCCATTCCGGGAAGGGCATGCTTCCCCCAACAAAAAGAACCACTGCGACCGTTTTTTGCCCCCGGCTCTCACCCGGCCGCCGATCCTCGCCAAGGATTCGAAGCGGCCTTGGGACACCTTCAACGCTGGGGTGATCCTCATGCGCTGCAGCTCGGTGGTGGGTCAGACCCATTTTTTGGGGGGTCGGTGGAATGACCTCCATACAACAAATCCCGTCCCCGAGTTGCTGTTCTTTTGTCGGGAATCCCCAAAACCGGTTTATTCAACCCCCACCCGGGCTCGCTGTCCTCTACCTATCGCAGCAAGCTTCTCGAGCAGGTGTTTCGCGGCTCGATCCCTTGGGCTGGACGGGATGGGATGGGACAAGCAAATGAGCAGAGGTCTGTTTTTTTTTGGTTGGAGCCGGCCATTTGAAGCAAGCATCCTCTGTTTCATCGCTTTCTTTTTTGTTGTTGTTGCCCAACAGCAAATCGCAAAGGAGCAAACAGGAGGTTCCAATGCACTAGCCAGTTAGAAGTCCTTTTTGTTTGGGAGGGAGGCTGGGTGTTTTTTTGGTGGCAGGGAGGCGGTGTTGTGTCGTAAAATCACCCAACGAAAAGAGTCTGGCTGTTTTACCAAGTCAACACCATGTCAAGATCCATTTGGGGTTCCCGCTCAAAAAGAAATAAGCCCCCGTCTTGTAGAGAGTATACTCTTGTTTGTTGGGTGGGTGGGGGGGAGGTTGTGTGGTGTTTTGTGTGTGTGTGTGTTTATTTATTTATTTGTTTGTTTGTTTGTTTGCTTGCTTGCTTGCTTGCTTGCTTGCTTGCTTGCTTGCTTGCTTGTTCTTTTTTGGGGGGGTGAGTGGGATAGCTTTGCAGTACTCTTTTCAGCTAACCAGAGGCTCTGATTGACCCCAGATCTTCCCCACGCGACAGGTTTGTGAGATGTTCAACATACTGTGGATGGTTGCGAAATCCATTTCGCACCACCTAAGAAACCCTGGAATGATGAGATTCCCCTGTAAATACCAACAAACGCTATGGGTTTCAACCATGGTTTCATTTCGTGGTGCGAGAAGCGGATTTCGCAACCATCCACAGTAGCTTGTTTGATCCACTTGGCGCCATGCCGGCTTCAGCAAACAAAACCTTGGCTCCCGGCCATCAAGTTCCTTAGCCGCTCTTAGCCTTTTGGTGTGTGGTTGGATGTCCATTTGACCCACTAAAAAAGCTAGACTTCATTTCCATTTGACCCACTAAAAGTTAGTCACTTTTAGTCGGGGGATCTGAGGACAGCAAACAAAACGACAGGGAAGCTTGAGCTTTCAGATGATCTGGCCCCTTGCAGTGAATCTCCCTGATTGAGTGAAGTAAAAGTAAGAATTGGACAGGTGTTCGAGCATTTGGTTTGCTTGGGGTTTTGGCTCTCGCAAACACAAGTAGTCGCTCTGAGTTTATCGCTGTTCGATCTTGGCAAAAGGGCAGCGACAAGCGGCATTTGGCGAAATCATCAATCCCCACAATTTCGATGGTGACCAGGGATTTGTTTCACAGATCGAAGTCGCATGCCAGTGTGTTTTTCTGAGGATACCCCGAAAACAGGGGTGGCTTAAAAGGGAGATGTGGCGGGTTCCGTATTTGGCGACAGACACATATTCTACTGCATGATGGACAAAACCTTGCACCACCCAGAGAAGTCCTGGAATGAGACCAATGGTTTCAACCCTGGTCTCAAAGTGGTGCGAAATGGATTTCGCGCCTATCCACAGTATTTTTGGTGTTGCAAAGGTTTAACTGGAGTCTTCTGGAGGTGGGTCGTGCCTGACTCGTGGGTGCGACCGGTCGAATTCCAGCCGGGAATGAAACACAAACCACAAAATGTTCAAAGGTCCCAAAGGAGTGTGTCTCTCTTTAGGGGAACACCAAAACAGGCTACCCCAAAGCAGACTGGGTTTCTTTTGACGATTTTCTGATAAAACTACATGCACCCCCTTGTCATGGGGGCAGCGGAACGAAGCTGTGACTGACTGTGTGACTGGAGTTGGCACTCCCTTTGTTTTGTGGTTTGAAAGGGAAACCAAAAGGGAACTACTGTTTTTTTTTTTTTGGGGGGGGGGGCGGGGGGAGGGATCCCTCAAAAGAGACACACCCAACTAGCCAACTAACTGAACGTAATTCGAGCAAGTCCAGGACCTATGAAGGTCTTGAGTCTGTTTTTGTTTTCTTTTTGTTTCCCCCTTTTTTTTCTTCTCCCCCGTTTGTGGTGTGCAGACTGCGCTTGACTCCTGCCCAGCAAAGATTTCGGGTTGGCCCTGTCTCAGCCATGTTTGAACATCAAGATGACCCAAACCTTCCAAAAACGGATTTAAGCATTTTGGTCGGGCCCGACCCTGCTTTACCCTTACCAGAGTGTCCTTCTTGTGGGTGAAATGGGGGTCAACCCCCCCGCGTGGACTTCCTGTGACGAGGCAGCGAGTGGACCATCTCCCTCATGGAGAAGGTGCAAAGCAGCACCGAGGGGCAAGCGGACGAGGAGGTGCTGCAAAGAGTGCTCTACGAGGAGCAGGTGGGACGGGGTTGGCATGGCAATTGGAAGACTTAACCATCCATGAGGGTAATGTCCATGTGGAGGTGGTCAAAAGAACCGCTGGCTTTTCCCACTTGCCCAGTGAATTCCGCCTTTTTTCTTTCCTTTTTTTGGGGGGTAAGGGTGCCCTTAAACTCAACCAGCCACAAAAGGATGCCCTTTCTTCCCCATGGCCACTGGGCATCTGCCTTTTTCATTGCCAGACTCAGCCTACCAGTAAAACAAATTAAAAAAAAGCGTCGCCGTTGTGGTGTTCCTTTCAACCGGCACCTTGACCACTTTGCGTCCAAGTCTTGGGCCCAGAAAAGGGGACACGGGGACCCCCCCGGCGTGAGAGGATTTGTCCAAAATGGCAGGGTTGCTTGCCTTCGTCACTGTACATTCACTCTAGGGACATACGGGGGTGTCTCTTTTTGGGGTAATTCGCCCCAGTTTTGGTGCTTTACAGGACACTTTCAGGTGGTTTGTTTTCTTGGGGGAGGGGTCTCCCCAAGTCGCTGTACATTAAAAAAGGGGTTGGCTCGAGGTAAAAACCCCAGCGATGGCGTCGCCCCGGCCGAGGCCGCCGTTCCGGCCGCGGCCGCTTCCCCGGGGGCGTTTGCCACGCTGCCAGCGGGCACGCTGAACGGAAACCTTCGAGTGAATGGCTCACAGCCGGCCGGGGAACCGAGGGAAACGAGGGAGTGGCAAGCCCGAGGTTGGGTTGGGATGGGATGGGATGGGATGGGTTGGGTTGGGTTGTGGAGGGGTGGAGGGGGTGGAGGGGTGGAGGGGTGGAGGGGTGGAGGGGTGGAGGGGTGGAGGGGGTTCAAATCCAAGCAACATGAATAGCAACAGGTCATGTGTGGCGTAACACCAGATGTATTTACGCAATCAGTTTCATTGGCTCCTGGTTGTACTGATGCCGCTCGGGTCAGGGCTTGTTGGAAGGGTTGTGGGCTGCAGTGGTTGGAGGTTGGAAGGGTTGGGGGGGCCAGTTGGAGAGAGGTTCATTGCAACAGAGGGAGGGCAATAATTAGGCAGGGTTGGCATTTCTCAAACGGCTACGGTCGTTGCACAAATCACCACAAACCAAGTCTGCCGGGCGCCACTTACAACTCATGAGCCGTTTGGGTTCACAAAAAAGGCGCCGTGAAGACAGATGGACGAACTGTTTGCTTCACAGCTGCTTTTGTTGAATGAAACCGCGCCGTAAGGTGGGAAGCGGAAAAGCCAAACATCGACGGGGGGGCTCCCCCTTCTTCTTCTTTTTTTTTGGGGGGGAGGGGTTGGGATTGTCGCACCTCCAGCGCCTCTTGAGGTGTTTGGTCAAGGCTCGTTGGTTTGAACGACAGTCAGCAGTCCGAAATGTATACTGCAACAAGAGCTTTAAACAAAAGAGGTGCCCACGTTCTGTGCCAACGTGTTTTCGTGTTTTCTCAGATGAACCACAAACCCGGAGAGCGCAGATAGTAATCAAGGGACAGTAGCCAGAAACAGGCGCGGATATCCGCCGCGTTGGCCACTTTGATGCCAGGTTTCTGATTGTGACTCATTTTGGCTTGGCAGGGGTTAAAGGCCAACCCAATGGAAGGATCAATGAGAAGAAGGCCACTTTCCACACTGCATCATGCGAGCAGCCCCAAAACCCCATGACCATTCTAATGGAGGGTAATCCCAATAGATGGTTTACCGCCGTGTTCGCGAGCAGCCCCAAAACCCCACGACCATTCTAGTAGGGGGTAATCCCTCTAGATGGCTTAAAGCCATTTTGGTCGAACCAAGAGTCCACGGATGTTGGCGCTGCTCAGAAGGTGTTGAGTACTAGGTGTCCTATTTAGCAGGGCTCCTTAAAAGATACATTTTGCCCGTTTGAAACATAGCTTTTTCCACCAAAATAAAGGGACACCACAATTTACAAGGCAATGTTCAGGTGTATAATGTAAGGATCCCTGTTTAGGTTAGTGTGGTTAGAAATAGAAGGTACTGGTTTAGATGGGTGTGATGCCCCATTTACCAGGGAAAAACCCATCTGGCCGCGGGTCAACAGCAATGGTACCATTTTGGGGTAGGTGCACCACCCATTTTAGTCTATTGTAGTGTGGATTGGGATGTTCACTGGGGATACGGGGTTTTGATCCATAGCCATCTATTTTTCCAAAAGGACGCCTATGCTCAGGTGGTGCACCTGTCGGCGCTGCCTTTTGCCATCCGAAACCACACCTTTGCGGCGGCCTTGCGCCTCGACCAACAAATGACAAAAACGAGTTGTTGTCCATTCCCCGCGTGAGCGGAGTGGGGACAGGTGTGCGCCGTTTTGTGCTCCAAGTTGTTTTATTTTGCGGGCTTCTCAGGCAGGTTTCTGTTGTTCTTTTACACAACGCAGAGTTCCACGTGTTTGTCCCTTGCGGCTTGCAGTTTCAGGTGTTCCCTCAAATCAGTGGGAGGCCACTTGGAAAGCTTTCTCGAGGGAGGTGGTGACTGGGAAAGCTTCCATTTGCCAAGCAAGCGACCTGCAAAGAGCGAGCCCTGTATTTTTTCTCACAGGAAACGACCTGGGTAAGCACATGGGCAACCATTTCTGGCACCGTGCGACTTGGCAAAGCATGGGGCTTGATCAAAAGCTGTTGCATTGGATCACCATTGGCAAACACCACCGAAATGATGATATAATTTTCCCACATGGAACACTAAATCCCGTGGTCGAAAAATCTGGGGGCCCAAAAAAGACATGGATCAACCCCCAGGTCGGCCCTTCTTTTCTTCTTTTTGGGCGGGGGGGTGGGGGCATGTTTTCCGAACATGAAATGGCCAACCCAAGGCTTTTATCCACCGTTTCCCTGCAAAAAGACATGCTCAGTTGCCCAAAGCGAATCGACCTTCTAACCTTTTGGTTTTCTCGTTTTGGTCCATTTTTAGTCATGGTCCCAAAAGGTTAACCTTTTATTTCCAGGTCCTTTGGGCAACTGAGCATGGGAACCTTTAAAGCGTATTGTAGGCAGGAAGCAAATCAGTCCTGAATTTGTAGATCAAGCCTTTTGTAGTTTTTCCTTCGGCTTCACTTTAAAATACGGCACACAAGAAAGAGGGGTGCCAACTCAAAAAACAACAAAACCACTCACCCCCCAACCTGCGCCCAGTTCAACCGAGTCCCAACATGTTGGGCTCCCTGAGACAGACCCATATGCGCCATTGGCAAATGACCCATTTACTTGGGGTTGGTAGTGATGCTCATCAACCCCTCAATAGGGAATTCTAGACTGTGACAAGGGTTCCTTCCATTTGCTCAATACTTCTGTTCTGTTCCCCTGTTGGTTTCAAAGGGAATCTATCACTGGAGATATTTTCTCTCATTCTTTCCAGGGGGCGTACTCGCAATCGTGTTTGTGTGTCTTTTTGAAGGGCCCCAACAAGGGCCCAGCGGTGTTCCCTTGGATTTCCCTTGGCTCTCTCCCTGAGTGCATGGACTTTCAACTTGGGACCACCTTCTTGGGCCAGTCCACGGAAGCGGGTTCACCAACCAAAACGGGCTTGGTTCCTACATGGGCAGAATGCTGCACCACAAAATGAAGCCATGAAGAGCCGTTGTTGGTTGGTATTTACAGGGAATCACCATAAACCAGGGTCTGTTGGGCGGTGCGAAATGGATTTCGCATCCATCCATGCTTTGGTGCATTTTGCTTGGATGTGGGGACTTTAACTTTTTGCCAACTCATGGGTTTTCCGTATTCAACCACTAAAAGCTATTTTCACTTTTAGCAGGGCTTCGCAGATTTCGCAACCGACCACAGTATGGGAACTTCTGGGCTGGTTTTCGAAAAGAACGATGGTTGAAAAGAATGGAAGAGGAATCCACCCCTAGAACTTGAAGTGGGTTCACCAACCAAAATGGGCTTGTTCCTATGGGAACAAATCTGGGCATCCCCTGGCTCCTCCCGCGAGTGCCCGAAGGCGCAGCCGCTGCCAGTCGCCGAAGGACGGCGCTGCGGCGACGAACTTCTCGGCGGGGGGGGGGGGTTTGGGTGCCGGCTGGGGGGGCTGGGAAACGGGAAGGCTGAGCAAAAGTTCGCTGGGCTGAAACCCGGAATCCCTTTTGACCTTGTCCAGTTGTGAAGGCCTTTTTTCCGTCCACAGTAAGGTAGACTCGGACATGATTTCTAGAGGGGAGCACAATGAAACAGCCATCTCCCCATGTTAAACCCCCAGAGATGGGCGCTTTTCCGACATGGCGGTTCTTTTTTCATCTGCAACCAGTACCTGAATTTTCCCACACCAAAGCCACGCGGTTTTCGGAGTCCGGGAGATCGGAGCTGGTTTCGTGTTGGCCTTGCCGCCTTCCGGGGTCCGACACTGAAGGGTTCCTTTGTGTCATACCGTGGATGGACGGTGTCAAAAGCCGTTTCAAACGCACCAGGAAGTGAACCCGTGCTTGAAGCCATAAGGTTAGTTGGTAGTTACGTTGGCGAATGGAATCAGAAACCAGGGTTTCTTAGGTGGTGCGAAATGTTTTTCGTCCATTCACAGTACGGCGCAGCTTGGGATGTGCAGTTGAGAGTTCAAGAGCGCGGCTCACAGAGCTTTAGTGCCCTTTGATTCAGGTTCCAACTCCGATTTCCTGGAATATGGGTGTGTCTTTTTTCAGTGGACCCCCCCAAAATGGTGGTGTTGCTTTTGTTTCCATCACACAGGGGTCAACTCCCAAAAATGACATCCCCATACCTCGGCACCCTTTGATGAATGTCATCTGATTAGTGAAACCGTCCCCTCCCCTTTCGCAAGGTCGAGGAAAACCGCGAAGCCCGAATTCATCGGGCTCCAACCCGGCAGGAAAGCCCAACCCGGCGGCGGCGAAGAGAACACCCGCAACTTGTTGAAGGGGCCCTTTGCGCTTGGTAAATGTCCGGAAGAATCCATGTCACCCCCCCCCCCCCAGTGCAAGATGCCACGCTCCAAACATCGCTGGGTAATTTTCGCTGCCTCTTGAGCTGCGTGTTCTGCACCTGGTTCCCCTTTAAGCACCATCCCCTTGTCGGGAGCCCAGCTTAGAAATCTGACTCGGGTCCTCATTCTCAGAGTGAGCTTCTGGGGCCATCTCGAATGCAGCTGGGCTCCGTTTGGTGCGCCCATAACATAACTTTGGTGCATTGTGCTTGGATGTTAGGACTTTGACTCTTGCCAACTTATGGGTTTTCCATCAAACCACTAAAAGTTAAACTTTTAGCAGGGGAGCAGAAAGCAACCAAGTTAAGAGGGCGAACGAATTGCCCCTCCTCCCCCCCCCCCCCCCGGCTGCATTTTTTTCCCGAAGGAACTCCAAAAAATGACTTTCCGGGCCTCACTTCTCTGCAATTGAAGGCTTTTGGGTTCCAGCCGAACAGCTGCAGAGTAATGTTGCGCAGGATTAATAAACCGCTGCTATTATGATTATTTTTTTGGGGGGGCTGGTTTTGGTTGGGGTTTCAGACCAGTTTGGGAGGGCCCCCCACCCCCATATTGAACCAACCCAAGTGGCCTCTGTTGGTTTGCGCGTCATTAAGCAACTGACGCGGACAGGATCCACCAATGACTATGTTAAGGGTAGGATCAAACGCCGCGTGCGTGCGTGTGGCCACCCTTGGGATTCCAAAAAACACCTACCCTCCGGAAAAAGCTCACACACACAAATCACCAGCAAGATGGCACCCTCAAAAAACACACCCCTTGCATTCCCATCCACTACCAGGTTTTCGTTTCAGGAAAAGGGTCCGTTACTAGGTCCCCGAGTAGTGCCGTTTTACCAACTTTGTTGGGGGAGGGTTCCCCTACTGCAATAGACCAAGCAGAAAACTTCTAACCTGGAGGACCTAGGCTCTAGAGCACACTGCAAGGGGCACTCTTGCCTTGTAGACCCTCAACCTGTCCTTAGATGGCCCATGGACCATCTGCACGGAGCTGGGAAAAAGATGCACGCCACGCCGAGCGTTTTTTTTCGGTCGGCTGTTCGGAGGCGCTGCGGGAGGCCTACGACAGCAGCAGCTTCCTGGTGGCGAACCAGGACTTCCGGGCCGCTGGCACCTCCAGGCCTGCGGCATGGTCGGTGGGGTGGGTGGGGTGGGTGGGTTGGGTGGGAGGTGGGTGGGTTGGGTGGGTGGGTGGTTTGGGGGGTTGGGGGTGACATGGGGGTCTCCCCGCGTGGACCTCCGCACTCAAAGGCAACTTGGATGTTCGATTCGCCAAGTGAGTCAGTGGTGATCACCATTTTGGGGTCTTTCACCTTTCAAGGCAAGAACTCCGCTGAACGGAGGAACTTAAAAGTTGGTTGTAGCGTTGCCAACAACTTAATGTTGACCCCGGATTAATAAACCCCTGTTTATTCATATGGGGGTGTTCCCCTCCAAAAGTGACAAATCCCCACTAAAACCGGGGGACACCCCCATATTAATAAACCAGAGGTTTATTAATCCGGGGTCAACATTACAAACTTGGCGAATCGAACAGCCAAGTGAGGTTCGCACCGCCCGCAGGTACGCCTTCGCGATTGCGCGGAGGCTGCGGTTCCAGGGTCGGCTCCAGGCGCGCCGAAAAAAGAGTCTCACGCGATGGAGATCTGGCGATGCTTGGGGTGTTTTGTTGCAACCGGGCTTTTGGGTACCAAGTGGCCCAAATCTCTATTTTGACACAGGGCAAGATGCGTGGGTAATTTTTATTGTTCAGAGTAGCCACCTTTTTGGGGGTGGGTTTGGAAACCAAAAGGATTAGCCCGTTTTGGGGGGTCCAACTCCCTTTTTGACACTGTGGATGACTGGCTAAATGACGATGTGATGTATTGACCAAACCGTTGTTCGTTACTGAATGAACAAGCATACTAGTCTATTGTTTGTAAATATTGGCGTGGATATATCCAGTGTGTTTGTTTTTGTCTAAATTTAAACACAACACATAAACAATGCCAATATATGTATGTTTGAGGGGGGAGGGGCGTTGGGGGAAGGGGTGTGGAGGCGTATCAGGGTTTGCTTTTGATCAACCCCCCATTTGGTGAAGGGTAGCAAGTCCTTTCTTCCTTGGAAGAGCAGCCCAGTTCGTCATTAGTAAGCCTAGACCAAATGGGCTCATCAAGGTGGGAACCCTCATATCGATTGTTGGTGCTACCAATTTGTGCAAGGTTTACGTTTCCAGAACAAGCAACCATTGTTTGTTGGTATGTACAGGGGAATCATCAGAAACCAGGGTTTCTTAGGTGGTGCGTTGGATGGATTTCGCAACCATGCACAGTAGCGTAGCGTTTCTCCGGTGCATATCCCGCGAGCCCCACGCATGGTCGCCCCACGCATCCAGGAGACGGAGGACCTACTGCGCTGGGCGGTGGACGGATTGCGCGCGGAGCTGGGCGAGCAGAAGATCGATCCTTCGGCCTATGAATCGAGGGCCTCGTTTCTGAGATGAAGCGATCTCGCCCTTTTGGCTTCCATTTGCTGAAATGATGATTTCCGTCTTTTCAAATTGTTGGCTTTAAAAGGAATCGATTTCACTAGTGGACATATCTAAATATTTGTTCACGGGGCGAAGAAGCGAATGGCCGTAGGGAGTACCAATCAGTCGGCGTACCTAACCGATAGGTACACTTAGCATATCTTCAGAAATGTCGCGGCACATGGGTGGACCCCAATTTGAGGTCCAAGTGCCAACTGCTTGTTTCTCGACCCCCCACCATTGATCCATATGTTCCATCTGTGGCTATCGGTTGGGTATGCCGACTGATTGTTACTCCCTATAAGTGAGATCCCTTCATATCCAGGCCCCGAACGGATCGACGGATCGACTCATAAATGTTTGCTATACCCAGAAACTCCCGATTGAATTAGGGTCTTCAAACAACCTGGTTTTGAGACCCCCAACCACCTCCGGGGTGTCTAATGAGTCTTCCATTGAAAGCCCCAGGAGCCTCTAGGTATAGAAAAATCGCTTTTATGGCTGCTTGGTGAGTTATGGCTTGCCCAGATGTCTTGGTTTCTCTCGGCTGTCAAACCCTCCTCGTAAAGCAGGGGACCCTCACACGAATGTCAAGAGTTCTCCAAGCTCGGAGGCTTGAAACTTTGAACAACACAGAGGGGTAGAACATTTGTTTGGTTTCCTGTAGTTTTGCTTTGTCACTACTTACAGGGGCATTGTATGTCAAGGAAGCGCGTAACTGGTTAGCCCACTTGAGCCAGTCTCCGCTCAGTGGGTTGTAACCAGGCTTGTCAACCACTCCTTCTGACGATCGAGTCTCTAAATGCAAAGTGTTCGACTAACATCGCCCACCAACAGGAAACATATGACGTGGCATTTCCGCCTAACGTGACACAACACGAAGAATCACCAAGAAACAGTGCGACAGTTCTTTTGATCAGCGGGTCCAGCTCTTTATTCTGGCTAGCATTTGCTTTAGGGGTGCAGAAAGCGGTTCAGCTGACACATCTTCAGGTGAATCTCCGAGCTTTAGAATGGTGATATCTCGAATCCCTTTCTTAGAAGGAAAGACCAACAAAATAGAACGGACCCCCCCGCTGCCACTTGGGGGGATGTTAGGCGCGGCCTTCCGAATTTCCCCAAAACCTGGGTAGATTAACAATCAAGAACCAGTCCCAGCCGGAAAACTTGCGGATTTCATGTTTTTGGGTTGCCCCTGTTAGTTCCAGGTTTTGATTCCCCACTTTGCATCCGGGTCGTTTGAGGGTCTCTTTCCAGCTGAGTTTGCACAACGTTCGCTTACTACTGTGGTTGGACAGAATCCTTCACCTTTCATCCTGTACATAGGTAAGCCACCTACCAGCTGGCGCAGGATTTCGTCCATCCAGAATATGAACCAGCATATGACTTGTGGGGAAAGCTGAGGCTCAAGTCAGGACAATCCACCAATGACATCCCTTGTGACTTTTACAGATTGCGCATCCAGAAGCCTAGGTGCTAGCCTTGTTGTTTTGGGGGATAGGGTCAGGCAACTAGAAAAAGTTTCGGGAATAGGGTGGTGCATCCGTGCTTTGGCCTTTAAGTCAGTGATGAATGGAGGGCCACGGATCCCCAAAATTGCCTGCAGATGTGTTTAGTCCGGGCAAGGCTCACCCCTGCAAAGCAGACCTCCAAACTCTCCAGTGAAATCAAGCCATTTGCCGGTGTATGGCTTTTGAAACTTTTGGGTGTTTGGGGTATGTGTCAAACGGGGACTTGCAACATTTTGGTGTTCCTCTTGGTGTCCCCTCAAACCATGGTGAAAAGGCTAGCAAAATCCGGAGCTGTGTCCAAGGACACGATCTTCGGGAAGGTTGAGCTCGCGCCGCTGGTACATCTGGGTTACGCAGAGGGCATAAACTCAGGTAACTTCCCAATCTTTGGGTTGGGACTTGCTGGATTCGTATTTGACCCCCTGGTACATTGAAGGCACATGCCCCCTAAGCTCCAATCCAAACCAGAGGGAAGCTGATCGAAGGCCAAGGCTCCAAAAGAAGGCCAAAGGACAGGGGGTCCCTAGTTTTAAACATTAGCTTTTTGGTCCATGAAAGGTGAGTGTCCCTTGGGGGTGATGTTTTGCGGAGACCTGAAGGCCCAAGAAGGCGGGTCTTCGCGCGGTTTGTGGGGTTGAGAAGAGGTGGGGGATGACTGTTGGTCCATGCTCCAGGTTGGTAGCTTGCGGTCCCCCTCTCACCCCCCCCTCCGATTTTGACGGACGGGGCACGTGTTTTTTTTTGTTGTTCATGTTGAAGAACCAGGTGTTCCATGGTAAATGTCTCATTTTGTCAGGGGATGACGAATCATACCCTCATGTATTGGGATCTGTCGAAAAGTGTGGACCCCAAATCGGATCTTCGTTTTCCTTTCAAGTTTGGTTCTCCCAACCGACCTGAAAAGGGCACGTACCATTCGCCTCCAAAAGACCGCCGCCTATTTTTTCAGTCTGGGTCCTATCCTCCATAACCCCATCCATTCCCGCCCAGCCAACTACTTTCGGTTTTCCTTTTTCTCATGAGCCCAACCTGAAAGGGCACCCTTCAGCTCAAATAAACAAAATGCGGGAAATCAAAGGGACACCAAAAGATGGTTTTCCCCGTTTTGTCGGATTCCCAGGTGTTCGGTGCTTGTTCCCTTTTTTTTTTGGCAAAAAGGCACACATCCCCACGATTTGTTTAGAGGTCCGCTTCCCCGTTGTTTGCTGCTTGTTTCGGGGTTTTGCCGAAAAGGGACGCATCCACTATCTTTTTTTGGTTTGTCCGCTTCCCCCCAAGCAAGAACAAAGGATGCGGGGGACGCCCAAAAACGGACACGCCCCCCCACGATTTTAGGGGTCCGCTTCCCCCAGAAATGCTCCTCTCCCCTATTTCTTGGGGTTTGTCCGATGTCCCCCAAAATCCGAACCACGCGGGCGCGACGCTCCGAGGAAGTTCCTGGCCTCGGTGAACCGGACTGAGGAGGCGGCGGATTTCCTGCGGCAGGCGGTGAGCGCGGGGGCGAAGTCCTTGGGGGTGCACAACCTTGCGCCTTGGTGGGAGGTTTGGGGAGGTTTCTGGAGGTTTGGGGAGGTTTGGGGTCTTGGGAGGTTTGGGGAGGTGTGGGAGATTTGGGGATTGGGGAGGTTCTGGCAGGTGTGGGGAGGTTTGGGGAGGTTTGGGGAGGTTTGGGGAGGTTTGCCTCTTGCGGGTGTGTCCTCTTTTCAGGTTACCTTTTTTTCTTGGCGTAAACAAAAACCAAACGAACACCCGCTCAAAAGAGTTGGCTTCTTTTTGGTTTCCCTTCATTCGGGGTGGCTTTAATTAAAGGAGAATGGAAAGGAACGCTGCCGTTTTGGGAGTCCCCCCAAAAAAATGACAGTCCCATGTTTAGCTGCACCTGTTCCCAGTAGAGGTTCTCCACCGAAGCAAATGGAACCCAAAAACGGGCACCCCCCCCAAGAAAAAAAATACAAACGCAACGACAGACCCATATGACCCGGAAACAAAGCGCTGAGGTCATGCTAGAGTGGCAGGAGAAGCTCGCGGCACTGCTCTCCGAGCAAGGCGAGTACACCGAGGCGGCAGGCGCGGGGGTGGAAGTCGAGCCGAAGAACGTCGAGCTGAAACAGCCCCCCCCCCAAAAAAAAACAACACATGTGCATGTGGCGTTGTTTGTTTGTGTGTTTGTGGGGTTGTGTGTTTGTTTATTTGCGTGCTAGTTTGTGTGTTTGTGTGTTTGTCTGTTTGCGGGGTCGTGTGTTCGAGTGTGTTTGTGTTTATTTGTTTGTTTGTTTGTTTGTTTGTGTTTGTTGGAGGGCCCCCCTTTTTTTGGTTTCTTTTCTTTGGGGTATTTGAGTATAACCTGTATTCCCCTTCCAGGGTTGTCTTTAAACATCGCCAAACCCAGTGAGACTCACGCACGGTGCGAAGGCATCCATTTTGTGCTTGGTAGACTCGGGTGTTTCTTTTTTCGGGCTCGCAGTTTTGAGTTGGTTCAATGGGAAACCAAATGGACACCACCCATTTTGGGAGTTCCCCCTTAGAGACAGACTTAAACCCAGTTACTCAGATACAATTGCTTTCCCCATGAGGGACCTGAAAGGGGAACTCGCAGAGAATGGAAGCCTGGGGCGTTTCACGGTTTAGCCAGTTGCGTGTGCGTGTTGTTTTAGTTGTTGGGGATTTTTCTTTTCTGTGGACTTGGGACCCTGGGCCGCACCTCGTATCCAAGTCAACGTGCCCTCGCGCTACACAAACCTTCTCGCCGCAAAATGAGGATCAACACACAGAGACTTGGTTTCAGGTCCCTCAGTTGGTGGGTTGGATTTGTGGTTTGAGATTTGAACCCCTGGTGCTTGTTGGCAATTACGTCCCACGCGTGCACCTGAATGCGCGTGAGGCACGTGTGGTTCGACGCGCGACCAGTTCTTGTTGAGGGTACATGGGAAGCCGCAGCCCAACTTCCAAACCACCAAGCCAAATCACCCGTAAGAGGGAAGCTGGTGGGTTGTACGTAGGGTAGCTTCACGGTTCTTTGCACATGTTTGTGTTTGTTAGTGAGTTGGTTCTCTTCGTGGTCAGCGGGGGGCCGGAAAAATCAGTCGCCTTTTTGGCTACCAAGGTTCGGGAAGATAAATCCTACTTGGGCTTGCGCAGGATTATTGACCACTTAGCTGGGGTGGGGTCGTCTTGCGGGACCCACATCGACCAAGTGGGCCCTTTTCCTAGATATACAATCATAAGTTACTCTACCAAACCGATCCTGCGTCTGAAAATCATGGATTATCTTGGACTGTGTGTAGTTGCTTGGGCGGTTGTTTCCCATGATGCATTTCGGCTCCATGGTTTCAACTTGAAAAGGAGACAGGGTTGTAGTTTGTTGCATGACTCGCTGAAACCAAAATTCAATTCGAAAGGAGAACCAGTGCTAAACAGCGTGCAAACCAGGGTTGCGCCCCCGATCACTAGAGTAACGGTTGGTTTGGGAGATCCATACTCTATCATCAATAGCCGGGATCAGGTCCAACATTGAAATGCGCAGCAATGGCGGACCCTCTGGGTAGCTTAGCTCGGCAAACGCACCGCAATGCAAAGTAGCTTGAGACAGCTTTGTCGTTGCATGAAGATGTGTCAAATTTTGTTGAAACACGTGCAGCAATTGCGAAGCTTGTGGAAGGTTTAGAGAAGGAATTTGATTTGAGCAAAGTGGGCAAAAGGGCCGCAGCGGGGGCCGCTTCGAAAACGCCCCTACGCGACAAGACCCGTGTTCAATTGCACCAACTTCGGTGCCGGAGAAAAGAAAAGCGCAGGGCAACGGAAGAATCGACCGCCTTACTGGGCTCACGCATTTCCAGCGCTTGGTTTGTGCGGTGCATGCTGGCCGACCCAACGGTACCTTTGAAGTCATTGGAGGCATTCTGCCAGCAGTTTCATTTGGATGAGGCGCATGCCATTAGTGCTGCCCGGATCAGCTCTGTTCGTGATTGTTTCGCAGAACTACTCAAACTTCTGAACGCCAATGCAATTTGCGACGCTTTTCGGTCTACACTCGCCACGCCTGAGAATGGCGTCACGTCGGCAATTCCAGTCGTCATGGTCCATATCCATGATGGAGCAGACCTTCGGTTACGTTCACGCGGGCAGCAGCAGCGCTCGGACCAGGACGTACGTTTGCCTATGACTTCCCGTATAGCCGATCTCACAGCTCCAAAGTGCAATGCCATCATGTCACATTGAACATCAACGGGGAGACCATTCCTGTTTTTACAGAGCTACAACCTCTCCAGCGCAAAGATGCCCTCACATTGAGCACGTCCATTATCAACATCACAACCCAGGTCTTGGCGGCTCTTTTCCCTGAGTGCGCCCCTCGTGCGGGAGAGAGACCCACTTTTATTCACGCATATTCACGCTGTAGCTGGTGACGCAGTGCCCACAAATTTGGCTGCTCCACGCGCCGTTTTGCCGCATTTCTTGCGAACTTCGCCCTATCGCCAGTGCGCCAAATATCGCTTAGTATTCTGGCGCTGCGCAAGTCACAAATCGAATCTTGTCGTCATGGTGGCCATATGCGGAAAGTTGATGGCAGACCCATTAGATGGTGATTTGTTATGCGCAACTCTCAGCCGCTTCTTCAAATTTTTACTGCCAATGTACGTCGATGACTTCGCGGCTGAGCTTCGCAAATGGGTGGTGCACACTTCCGACTTGATTTGCGGAAGCCCCATGCCTTACCAGCGCAGGGCCGACCACGGCCTGCTTCAGCTTTTCGGCCCTGCAGTATTCCCAGATGAGCTTGTAGAACTGCTCAACGTCAACGTGTTGCACTTGCGACGCGCCGAGCCTTCCGGTAAGCTGGCCGCGTTTCGGGGCGAGACATTCTCAACCTTGTACAAGCTTCTATGGAAAGTGCAAAACAAACCAATCATAACACGCTTTTGGCTCTTCACTGAATGCGCGAACGCTCTGTTACTTTGCAGGCCTTTACAGGTTCCGCCAGAGGTTTTCACCACGTCCACCAAGAACCCAAAGAGCGAGAACGCAGCCCGGTTGACCAAGTTCAAAGCTTGGTACAAGGACCCGAGCACATTGCAAGATTTGAAAAGAGCTTCTCTGTGCCTTCGCTTGACGACAATTGCTTGCAATTTGGCTGCAACCAAGAAGAGCGCGGTTCCTGTATTGGTGCGTCTGGGAAGGCAGGAAGTGCAGCAGCGCACAGCCACGGAACTAGCGCAGATCGTATCTCTTTTGAAGTACGACCCCACTCTGGACCGCACTGGCACGGTAACCGCTTTGCTAGTTACACAACTGCATGTGCACATTCGATTCGGAGAATATCAGCGATGGCCAGGGTGCGGCTGGAAGCTAACTGCGAAGTACAATGAACACGGCTGGATTCATGAGATTGAACTCTTTCTAGCCCTCTCACAAGAAGTTTTAGACGTCGGCTTTTTCTTACCTCTGCAGTCGGAAGCTTTGTCTGCAGGCTCATACGCAGACGCTGTGTCATTCCTTACACGCAGCCGAGTGCAAGATGAGATTTGCCAGATGTTTGAGTGCAGTGCCGCCTCGTCGCTGGACGCTGAGCGTCGGATCAACATGGATAAACGCAACCAACGGAACATGAAATGCATGTCGGTGGCACGGTGTTCCAGGAACAGCATTTTGCACTCGTTCCGCTCGAGCAACACTTGGCAGAGGCAAAGACAAAAACACGAATGCAGAAAATGAACGCTCGTGCATTAGCAGTGATGCGGCTGCCAGACTCGCTGCCCCGGCCGCAAGGCAGACTCTGGTGGCAAGACCCATCCACTGCGCAGTCCATGCGTCAAATTGTCCACGCAGGAAACCCTGGTGAGCTCAGCCGATATCTTGAAGAAAATAGGGACGAGCTGCAGGCGGAGGCTAAAGCATTGCGGGAGCATGCCCGCAAAAGGGGCGACGGATGTTTTCAGGGTATGCCAGTCACAAATCGAGCCTGGATGACGTGGTTGGAAAAGCACCGCGAAGAGTTTCAAACCCAACTGCGGGAGGCAAGCCAGCGAAGGCAGACTTTGTACAACGAAAGATTGGAGATCATGCCAGGTTTGCACCAGGCGCGACGTGTCGAACCTGACCGGACCTCATTTATTGGATGGCACCGCAAATTGGTATGTGTAAGGAGACTCCGTATTTTCTTGTGATGCATCGGGCCGTAGACAAGGTGGTTCTCTGTGTCTCCAGCGTTGGCGACGTTGGCTTTGCCGTTCAACTTGTTCCTGATATTCAAGGAGGCCGGACGGGCGCAAATACTGGATGTAGTAAGCCTTTAAACAGGCCGTTCCTTTCCTTAAACTCTGGCTTTGCAGCAGTCATTATATAGTAGAAATCGTGTAAGACGTATCGTTGCGATTCTGGGGTGGAGGGAGGCCTTCGGGCCGTACCTCCCCTATAAATGCCCCAGGGGTCGGGGTGGAGGAAAGTCCTGAACGGGCCGTACCTCCCTTTACACCCTGGCTTTGCAGCAGCCATTTTCTTTTGAAACTTATCATTGCGATTGCTGGGGTGGAGGGAGGCCTTCGGGCCGTACCTCCCCTATAATGCCCCAGGAGTCGGGGTGGAGGAAGGTCCTGAACGGGCCGTACCTCCCTTTAAGCCCTGGCCTTGTAGCAGCGTGTTATATTACAATTCGCATGAAACATATCGTTGTGTTTTTTTTGCCCAGGGGGTCGGGACGGAGGAAGATCCTGAACAGGTCGCACTTCCTTGAAACGGTGCTATAGTGCCGCCTTTTGGTCCTCAAAAGGTTTGTTGCTCAATAGGTTTCTTGCTATATGTTTGTTGACCATGGCGCTGGAGACAGCTGTGCCCGCGAAAGATCCGCAAGGAGTCTAAAGGTATAGTTTTGCTCGCGAAAGATTTAGCTGGGGCGTCTTGGAGGCATGCTTGCGCACCAAGTTCTTTGCAGGCCCCACCCCCTTGTAGACAGATATAGGCGGGCATCCTTCGCAAAAGACCCACGAAAGACATTTGCATGTGCGCACACATGCAGATGTGTGTGTGTGTGATTGTCCCGTTACAGGACCGTATGACTACTTTCTGGATTG